GTTTAAGTACAAATTATTTTTGAATACACAAAGAGGGTTTAAACTTTCGTACAACTAAGGCTTAAATAAATCTGAGTATACGGTATTGATAGCTCGTTGTTCAGTTGATAGAGCACCGGAACGGAAACTCAGTGGTCACTGATTCGAATCCCGCCGCGGTCCAAATTTCTATTTCGCTTTCAATCATCACCTATTATCGTATATAGTGGCGAAAAAGTTATTTTAAGGTCAATCCTGTGGCCTGTTTGTCTCTTGTATTTATCAGATTATTTGAATTCAAATTATACAGTATCACTGTATGTTACAAATCAAATAAACAAATCTAATATGAAACTGTCTTTCTAGCCATTTGGGGATATGCTCTACCATCCTTGAACTCATGGTTCGATTACTTCTCCCAATGTATGTGTCACTGCATATACATGTAAACTGGCATACACAGCGGGATGTGACGCAATTATCTATTTAGTGATGAGGTTTATTTTGTAGCATATGTTTCGTTTTCTTTATAATATTAAGCTAGGCTGCATATTACGTCGTTTTAATAACTGAATTAAACCTGTTTGGTTTCCTCGTATATAATAGCGTGATGTAAATGCCTTTTCCTCGAGCAGAATATTGATTAGTTTTCACCACTGAGACGTTTTCATAACCACTAATGAACTTAACATGATATCCATTTTCGGTGAGTATCTTCCTTAAAAACTTGATTCCTTCTTCCAATGTATCTGTTGTACAGATAAGTTGAGTCCTTTTGAATAAACATTTTACTAAGCCTCGTCTGAACTATACTGGACAGAAACTATGAAGGTTAAGGTACTTTTCGGTTCAGGTAGGTTTTCTATACACTGATCTTCCCTTCTCTAGTTAATAATGCGTAAAGAACACGAAGCCGATTATTATTTTCTGCATCATATTATAAACTTACTTGGCTTTGTATGATGTTAAGCTTATCCAGAAGACTTTTTGCATCCTCATGTTTGTTGCATATAACTGAAACATCATCAACGTATTTCCTCTACAGTAGGACTTTGTGGATTATATCCTAAACCAAAAGTTCTGCAAATGACATATAGACATCTCAGCTAACAGTGATTCTAAAGGATTGCTCATGGAGGACACCATCAACTTGTCGAAAATGTTCAACTTCGAAAGTGAAATGAACCTTATCTGTGCATAGTAGTAATAACTCTTTCATGTTTACAATTTAAGTGTGTGTGAGGTGACACATACGTTGGAAGGAGTAGTCGAACTATAAAGTCAACCGTCCCGGAGCAAAACGGGCTAAATAGTTTTAAAAAAACAATTACATTCAAGTAGTCCGGTGAATACATGAGGCAGACAGATGTCGTCGTCGATAAATAAAGACATTAGAGAAATAGATTGACCTGAAAACAGCCTTTTGACGATTGTATCGGAGCTGTCAAGACCGTATACTCAGGTTTATTTAAGCCTTAGTTGTACGAAAGTTCAAACTCTCTTTGTGTGTTCAAAAACAATTTGTACTTACCTTAAACCAACCTTGGTAATCTTTATCTAGTTTAGTGCCAAGGGATGTGTGAAAATGCATTATTCTTCCTTTCAATTTAGTCTGTTTATTAGAAATATCACACAGTGAAAAAGTATCATTTACTGGATAACGTTTCAGACACAATTTATTGTCCATATTCATATCAGGTTAGGGTATATAGACAATAAATCGTGTCTGAAACTCTATCCAGTGAATGATACTGTTTCACTGTGTGACATTTCTAATAAGCAAACTAAAATGGAATTACAATCGACCACTGTGCCCAAGTTTTACTCATATTATTCTTCCTTAATGTTCTTATGTTTTCTAAATCCTATATTATCTTATTTATTTATCTTACCCCACCCGATTTACATCCTTGATACACTAAAATGCTTTGATAAGTAAATGTGTGGTAAGATTTTTCGAAATGTATTGCACTATGGAATGTGCTCGAAAATGGTTTTGAAAAGTGAACGTTGAGTGCGACCAAGATACCTTACTCAACACGATTAGGTGAATTGATAAGCGTATATCGAGGTGGCCAAGATAACTAGGTTATCCATTTGCGCATAATCAAAACGCATGGTTAACGCAGACGAAACCAATTGGAGAAAGTGAAGGAAACCTAGTTACCAAAAAGGAGAAATAAAGGAGACAGTGGGCTAACCACTTCAAAAAACTCTTGAATCGACCACCACTTATAATTCGGCCAGAAATACCACCAGCAACCGCAGAACTACCAGTGAACACGTGTCCTCCAACAAAGGCAGAAGTCCTGAACGCCATAAAGTTGCTGAAATCCGATAAAGCAGTAGGACCAGATGGAATTCTGCCCTGAAAGCAGACTCTGAGATAACAGCGGACATGCTCACACCACTACTGCAGGAAGAAAGGAAACGTATCTGCTCATTGGTTGGAAGAATGGCTACCTTGTCAAACTCTCAGAGAAGGAACACCTAAGCCTTTGCAAGAACTGGCGTGGAATCAAGCTCCACCTCTGTCCACCCCAAGCAAAATATTAAGCCTAATCATCCTAGAGAGACTAAAGGATGCACTGGATTCAAAATTACGACCAGAACAGGCTACCTTCAGGAAGAATAAATCATGTGAGGATAGAATTGCAACGCTACGCATTATCATGGAACAGAGTATAGAATGGTAGTCAACTCTCTATCTCAACTTCATCGACTTTGAAAATGCCTTGCTTTGATAGCATCGACCGAGAAGTAATTTGGGAGCTGCTTCAACACTACGGAATACCACAAACCTTTATCAATCTCATTCAACACTTATGTGAAGATGCCACATTCCAAGTGATTCACGATGGAAAGCTCAGTGACGCCTTTGAAGTGAAGACAGGATTAAAACGAGACAAGGTTGCCACCTACCGTCATCGATGATCTTCCTGATTGCAGTCAACTCGACCATGCAGCAAATCGTGAGGGGCGAGAAGATGAGTATACACTGGCTGGACCGATGAAAAGAGCCTAGAAGATTTGAATTTCCCCGGTGGTGATTTATGTTTGTCTTGTGGTACAAGCTCAAATATCTACAGGCAAAAACCAACATGTTGCTAGAAGAGGCAGGGCTGCGAAGACGGGACTTCAAGCGAATGTAGAGAAGATAGAGGTGATGAAGATACGTAACAAACAATCACAACAACAACAAGCTCCAATCACCAATAATGGGAGAAACATAAAGGAAGTTGTCTCATTCACCTACCTAGGCAGCATCTTTCAGCTGCAGACAGTGACGGTGGCAGCACACATGAGGATTTCAAAGCCAGGATCGGAAAAGCAAGACAGGCATTCATTAATCCGAAACTAGTATGGAGATCTACTGCACTGTACTCAGCATAAAGCGTGGAGAAGATTCGGATTCTCAACATCTACTTTAGTCAAGTCAGTGCTTGTATGTGGTTCAGAGTCTTGGCGCGTTACGAAAAACATTTCCAACAAACAACAGACATTCAACAACAGCTGCCTACGCTGGTTGCTGAAGATCAGGTGGCCAGAAAGAGTAAGCAACACGGAACTCTAACGTGACAACGATTCAACCAAGAACCTATCACCCAAGAAATATTTCAAGTTCTTATTCATCGTAGACTGACATCAGTTGGAGGAACAAAGGAAACCTGGGAGCACTGGACAGCTGTTTCGTCCTAGTATGGGACTCCTCAGCAGTGCGCACCCACGACCCCACACCCCCAGGGATTGAACTCGCGACCTTCAGGTTCTGTGGCCGGCACGTCACCATTGAGCCACTGGGTCAGAATCCAATGCTCCATATTTCCAACTTCTGTTAGCTCACGATATAGCTCAATCGCCACCCAATGTCATCGTTGAGTATCTGTCCTCACTGCCATCAGGCTTTGACTCCACCGGTCACGACTTGTCACTGGAACTTCGGGAATACTTCTCCAAGCTGAGGAGTCCCTTACTAGGACGAAACAGCTGTCCGGTGCTCCCAGGTTTCCTTTGTTCCTCCAACTGATGTCAGTCTTCGATGAATAACAACTTGAAATATTTCTAAATCTCCACAACCCCCTCAAAAACCCAAGAAATATGCCTGAGGAAGTGGAGATGGATTGGGCATACACTGACAAGACCATTTGGAGACATTACGCTCCAGGCCAGGTAGTTGAGTGGAACCCGCGTTGGAAACGACGAGTTGGGCATCGGAGACAAGGTTGACATGAAGGAGATCACGGGAAGAAATGAAAGCTTGTGGTCAGTGGTGGAAACAGGTTAAATAGACTACCGAAAGCAAAGTGAAATGAAGACGTGCTACTGAATCCCTGTGTTTCCCTAGGAACCCAAGGAACAAATAATAATAATAATTGTTATGATCAAAAGATTAAGTAAGTAGAGAAGTTATTCTGAGCTTGTTGGGATTAAACCTAAGCAACTTCAATTTGCAATTATCATTAGTTTTGAGTACAGTACATATTACTAGCGATGAGTTTTGATAGAATATAAGGCAGGAGTGTTCAGACTAATTCATTTTGATAGAATCACAATTAACACATTCAGATAATCAACCAACATTTGTCAAACAATAAGTTTACACGGAGATTGAAGTCATATGCAGCGTGCTATGTTTTAGTGGAAAAAGGGACTATTTAATAAAAATAGCTTATTGTGTGAAAAACTTTTTCTATTTTTAATTCTTCCAAAAGTTTTAATTTCTTTTCAATCAATTATTTATATTTAAATTAGTTTCCTGAATTTAATTCCAGTTGAAGTAGGAAAGCGTTTGTTATCTCTTGCCATTCCGTTTAAAAATTATTGTTAGCAGTGAAATAAGTGGGATTAAAATAGCTACTTATCGTTCCCCCCCCCCCCCACCACCACCTCAAGAGAGTTGAGATCCTGCTCAGCTGGTGACGCATAGCTTGAAGTTGCCTTTCATTTGAACAATAACATATCTTTTATCCAATTATTGACTATGATATTTATTTTGAAATACTCTTTTGTAATTTACAAAGAATTTCGTTGGTGTGCTGCCTGTCGAACTACCTCTTCATCGTCATCATCAGCAGCACCTGATGACTATGAGGAAGAAGAAGAAGATCCATCAGAACATGGTGTAGACGATGGTGGTGGTGGACACCGTAGTCAGTCATCATCACAACAACAACAATATTTTTTCTGTATCCCTTTAAAAGGGTAAGTTGTGTAATTGTTTGCTAACTTTTTGATGAGGTATTTCCAACAATACCATGGAATATATATATATATATATATATATATATATATATATATATATATATATATATATATATAGCCAGAACGATGTATAATATTTGAATGATTTTAATGAAACAAGGGTAATCCACCTTACAAAAGCAATCCTTTTTTGAAGACCAATAAATACTATGGGAAAAAGTGAAGGTTCTTTAAAATCAACATAAACAGGAAGATGTTAGGCTGAAGAAAAAGAAGAAGAGGAGAGATAAATCAAGGTCAGTGAAACTTTTATGATTTCAGATATGATCCAGACGAGGAGTAAAAGAACACAACAGATATTAGTAGTTAGGAAGATGTCTACATATTGTTACAGTGTTTTGGTTAGTTCCCAATATCTTTTTAATATCTAATCATACTTTGGCTATTATTGAGTATCAAAGTAAACAATGATTCAACATGCTCATCACACATTCCAGCAAATTCAGTTAGAATAGATGATTTGCTATGAAAAATTTGTAAAATATGTACCTTGTTTTAATCCTTATGTTGATTGAACAAAACAATTGATGGTACAGGTGGTAATCAAACCTGGTAACCACGTATACTGAGATGATATATATATTAATACTGTAATCAATAATTAGATTCTTGTAAAAGTCACAATAATCCAACAGTTCCAATCAAGATCTTTGATAATCAGTTATATCAACTCTTCAGGTTTATTATCATAAATTTTTAAATTAAATTCTTTACATGTGTCAGTAAGGAATATATAATTAGTATTTGATTTGTGAAAGTATACACACTGAACAGACGAAGGTTGTGTTATATTGTACTGATTGACTAATTACCGCTCATTTGGCACAATTATTTTCTGATTAGATTAAATTTTTAATTCATAGTGTAGATTTTGACGGATAGCCTTTGTACAACTCACCGTCTTCTTTTTTTATGACATTCTTAGTGTCATTAAACCCTTGCATTATTAACATGCAATAATTTAAAGATTCCCATAGATTATTCAGAACAAGAATAATTTGAGCGAACCATATTGTTTTCAATAACTTCTTCTTCTTCTTCAGACTCTACAGTGTTATAAATTCATGAGAATCAATGAAATACAATAGCCGAAATAAGGCATGACATACATTTTTTACAATATTGAGACAGTCAGTTTTGTGATAGGTGAATGTAGATCAAATCGAATGGAATGATGGAATAGTTATCAGTGTAGTATGTTAGTTGTGCAATGAAATGACTATTAACAAATGTTCCGCTTATAGAAATAGTTAACTATATTTGCGATGAATTAAGAGAACGACAGATAGACGTAGAAATCCCACCTGAAAGAATTAAGGAATTGCTACTAAAATGCTCCATGAATCTTCACTTTCTATTTAACAACGTATTATATCGACAGGTAGATGGGGTTGCAATAGGCTCTCCTCTGGATCCTATGCCAGTAGACATCTTTTTGGCTAAACTTGAAAACCACGCACTTAGAGACACACTGGATAAATAAGACTATGATTGCCGGTATATGGATGATACGTTCATCATTTGTAAGAATGGCCACAATAAAAATGATCTCTTGAATACCTTCAATAAAGTTAACCCAGCTATGAAGTTCACGAGTGAGGAAGAATATGGGAATTGTATTCCTGTCCTAGATATCCTCCTCGTCAAGAAAGCTAATGGGTGTATAAAAAGGAATATTTTTTAGAAAAAACACATGGACTGACTAATATATTCACTATCATAGCTTCACATTGATTCAGCATAAGAGAAATCTGGTCATATACCTGAGTTACGCAAAAAGAAACATTTCTGATGACTGTATTGAAAGAGAAGGGAATAAGCTGAAGATAACATTGCAGCAAAATGGTTATCCACAAAACTTCGTGAATAAATACATTTCGAAACCTAGAGGGAAAATAAAAATAGACAATATTGCTAAGAAGCCTATATATCTTAGACTAAACTTCGAATGTGATATCACTTCGGATATCCTAACACATCGATTAAGTGGATCAGTCGAAAAGATATTCAATGCAGCGAAACCTTTTGGCAGCTTCTTAACCAAACCATTACTGACAGAGCGAATCAAGGATAGGTTACCTATAATGGCTACCTCAATATGCATTTTTGAGTTTAACTGCTCCTGTGGAGCTAGTTACATAGGCCATACTAAAAGGGCTGTATCCACGCACGCTCGTGAACATGTGACATCTTGGTTAAGGAAAGAAATGGCAAGAAGCAATCATTTCACATATAACAGATACCGGACATCTGATGGGGGTAGATCACGCCTTTTCTGTGATATACCATGTCCTTTACAATCTCCATAGAGATGCAAAACTTTGCATCTTATCCATAGCCGAAGCCATAGGGATCAACTCAAGAAAACTGGACCTATGTGTTAAAAAGAAACAGGTACATCCATTTTGTTTGCCGTGGCCCATACATTCTTTATGAATTTTCCTACCACAAATTGCACATTTTAACCTCCTATCCCAATCTTCTATATTATCATTACACTGATAAACATTCATTTTCTTACGTTATTAGTTTCACGCCTCTCTTTATTCATACTACAACCTATAGTCATTTTCAACCATGATGTAATACTTTACACTTGTTATTCTCTATTTCGTTACATGATTCGCATCCTATCTGAATAGTACTCGTCATTAAATAATTAGCATTTGACCCTTAGTAAACAAACACACACCCATACACATCCATTCCCCAATTAATGCTTATAAATGAATCATTATCTGTAGATTTTGTCTCCTCAGTTCGTAATTGTACTGTCAATATTGATTTCCTTACACAACTAACACACTAGACTGATAACCATTCCACCATTCTATTCAATTTGATCTTCATTTACTCATAATACTGACAGTTTCTGAATTGTACATCATACCTTATTTCGGCTATTGTATTTCACTTATTCTCATGGATTTACAACTATAGAGCCTGAAGAAGAAGAAGTTATTGAAAACAATATGGTTCACTCAAATTATTATTCTTCTGAATAAGGCACAATATTTTATTGACTTTGATAATGAGTTACTGATTGAAGATAAGATATCCTGATAAACTGTTGAACGTGGACAAACTAAAATTGTGAAAGTATGTTAATATTTAGTGACTTAATGGATGGAAGCGCAAAACATTCAAACTCTGCAAAATTTCCTTATTACAAAATTTTCTATCCTCAGTAGTAACAACAATTGATTTTGATTGTCAGTGAGAATTTTAAACACCTATCAATACTTTTAGAGGGTGGATATGATTTGACTATCTAAGATGGCCGTAGTTTGTCAGACTAGTGTTTGTACTGGGTGACGATTTAAGGTGAGATGGAAATCTGGACCACTGCCAGATTCGAACCAGAGATCACTGGCTTAGCTCCCCGGTGCTCTACTGACCCAGTACAAATACTGGTCTGCCAGACTACAGCTATCTCTGATTCACGTGGTCAAATCGCAATCAATATGATGTTCCCCCTGTTTCTCATTCAGTTACATTTGGATTGTGATGAGAAGTCCTGACTAGTGGGCAGCCAGTGTGAATGGGATCAAGCGGTAGTAAGGCGCCACAAATTCACATGATAGTCGGGGGAAAACCATTGGTGATTGAAGTGAAGTAAAATTCTATTGAGCATTCGGACCTCATAGCTCAGTTGTTAGAGCACCTGACCGGTAACCCGAAGTTGACTGGTTGGAATCTGGTGGCGATTCAGATTTTCATGTCACCTTCAATCATTACCCATTACAAAGGGTGGATATGATAATCTTTCACACGGACATTGAAATGATGTTGTGCATCATAATGTTAGTTCAGTTGACTAGATAGTTTAACGATTTAATTTCATAGACATTTAAAAATAATGGGAGAGTTTATCTTTTTCACACTAATCAAAACTTTCGAGTGACTTGATTTTTATATTGTGTGATGATTGAAAGTGAGATGAAAATGTGGACCGCGGTCGGATTCGAACCAGCGACTGCCGGGTTACCGGTCCGGTGCTCTGCTAACTCACCTCCGACGTCCGACTGCTCACCAGAATTTTATTTCACTTCAATCACCAATGGTTTTCCCCCGACTATCATGTGAATTTGTGACGCGTTACTACTGCTTGATCCTATTCATACTGGCTGCCCACCAGTCAGGACTTCTCATCACAATCCAAATGTAACTGAATTAGAAACAGTGGTGAGCATCATACTGATTATCACTCGACTATATGAATCAGAGATAGCCGTAGTCTGGCAGACTAGTATTTATACTGGGTGATGATTGAAGTTGAGACGAAAATCTGGACTATAGACGTATTCGCACCAGCGACCCAGTGGATTTAAATTTACTAGTTGACGTTGTATTTGAATTGAATAAGCTTGTCAGGAATAGGATTTGTGTGTTTGTTTATCCAATGTAAATAAATAAACGGAACAGCATAGAACATTGGATTCCTTATCAACATTATTTCTGTCTTTAAAAATAACATTGAACACTCCCTTAACCGCTCCATAATTACATTCATATTGTTTTCTAGGTACTACTTCTCAATTTGTGGATGGACTTATAACTCTCCGTTGTTATACTGGATCGAGTCAGTCGACCTCCGTTGGCCTCCACATAGGAGCTCATATGTCAAAAGAGGTGGAACAATTCGATCCAGCATAACAACGGAAAATTATAAGTACATCAGCAAATAGTTATATCTGATACCCACTGTACAAGAGGTGGCTATCGCCTGTCACTGGTCTAATGGATAATGCTTTGGCGTTTGAAGTGATGGGTACGAGGTTCTAGTCTCAGGGGGAACAACATCACTGGGCACTGAGCGGTGACTCCCAAATAGGACGGAACGCTCATCCTGGATTCCTCTGCTAGCCACAGTCAAGTAAACTACTACTTCTCAATGTTGTCCGACTACAAAGGCTTGCTTTACTAATGTCACTAGGAAAAAGTATGTTAAGGTGGTGCTTAATGGTGACAACATCCTTTGAGTTTTCGTAGAATTCCTTGTTGAAGAGGAAGTGTAGATTTAGGGAACATCACAAGAGAATACCTTAAAAAACTGGTGCTGTGATTTCTACCTCCATATTTCTCTTCGTTTTTTTGCTACATATAAAATCTACAGGTTCCATCAAGAGCACAAATAATTAGGGATAATACATCTAAGGATGTCATCAACCTATTATTCAAGTTCAAATCTCTTATCCTGTCAATAGACTGAAAAATATCTTTAACACTGTGCTTTACAACTTTCTTGTTCAATGGTTGCAAACGTTTTACTAACCACTTTGTAGCTCTATGATATGGACAGTCTAACGTATCATAGTCAGTACAACTCTTGTAATCATAGAACAAGGAAGTTGTAAAATACAGCGTTAAAGATACTTTTCAATTTATTGAAAAGATAAGAGACCTAAATGTGAATAAATCCTCTATGATATATTTATATGCTGCATCCTCCTTAATCACCAATGTGCCCATGATGGAAACAGTGGATATCATGTGTATTGAACTGGTCAAGGGAAATATAGAGATAAGAATCACACCATCTATCTTGAAAAAGAGAATCTATTAAGATGTGCAATCGATGTATACTTACTCTTTAACAAGGAGTGTGTTACTATTGAATTACAACTAGGCCCAACCCTAGAAGGTATTTTGTTAGCGAAGTAATACATGAGCCTCTAGAAAGTATAATGAGAGAGTAGGAATTTTACTACCATCAAGTAGACGGTGATTTCTTAATAGTCATTTTTTCAACCTTATAATTAAGAGATGTATTGGAGTTGCAGTGATTAGTTTTCGATTCAACGATATCTTCGATTATTTCTATCGATGAAACTTGTTTAAAAAACTTGCATTAAAAAAATATGATGAATGCTGCTAAATTTCATACTTTGATTTTTGTTAATTAGGAGACGTTCACGAAGGTGGAATAGACGTTGTCGACGTTCTTGTCGTCGACTTGTTAAATCTCAAACATTTTATTGGATAGTCATTGTTCTTGTCTTCCTCAATACTGGAGTTCTAACTTCGGAACATTATGGACAACCATTGTGGCTTGATGATTTTCAAGGTAATATGTTTATAAATAACTAATTTTTGTCTAACCACTTAACCGTAGTATTTATTACTATTTTTCCCTTGGGTTCCTAGTACAACATTCAGCTTCAGTAGCACACCTCCATCACAATATATCCTCTGCAGTCTTTTCAATCTACAGCCATGACTGCCCACAAGCTTCCATTTCTTCCTCACACAATCTCCTCCATGTAACTCTCGCCTCAGACGCCCAACTCGTTGTTTCCCCTTCCAATTCCACTCGATGGCCTAGCCTGACGCCTGATGTCCTCAATCGACCTTCTCAGTGTATGCTCAATCCATCTCCACTAAAGTAGTATTACATATTTCATATAAAATCAGATTTTTCTAATTTTTTTCCATCAGAGAAAGCATATCATTAAATTTAAATTAACTGTACCAGCAACTATTTACATGTTTGTTTAGTAAGCAATTAGTTACATCTATTACCTGAAGGCTAATGATAATATCTGGCTGGCCAAACTTCGGTAGATTGAAGAAGGTTTGACCATGATCCACCTATTGAAAGAAATTACCTAAGCGAAGGAACAACAGATGCACTGTTAATTTTACATAGCAAATAGGTGTTCGATACATGTGGATTTACTGATATATTGTAGATGGGACTAAATGACTTTGAATAAGGCAGATATTTTCTCCCTAATTGGAAATTCTCATTCATGAGCTTCATGAAAGTTAAACTGAACATCAATCAGAGCCTTTAGGCTATATTATGTGAATATGATGATTTTAAATTCACTTCAGAGAGTATTATATTGTAAAAAAAATAAGCATTATCTGTACGCTTCTATAAATAATCATCTTTTACTCACACAGGTTTTTCTCATTGTTTGGCAACAATCAAAGAAGTATTGAAAACCTTTGAAAATAAACAATGACACATAATCCATTTAAGTTGTGCTCACTAGTGTAGTGAGTTTTTAAATAAATTTCTTGAAGTTCTGTTGAGAATATTTGACCTACCAAGTCAATCAAGTGTGATCTAGTAAAACAAAAAATGACAACTAATAGCATGAAATGACACAAGTTGAAGAAACATGACGCAATAGATTCCAACCCTATGCCTGAGTGGAAACGTTCTTGTCGGGTTCAATCACTCATGAGGTCATGAGTGTATACTGCTAAGAAATACCAAACTAGTATGAAGCAGGTGTCCAGCACTCTATTTACTACTTCTGGTTTTTCATTGACGAAACCTCCTTAGAAAAATCGATAAATTCTTCATAAATCTTCCCCTTAGCTATCCATTTACATTTTATGTATTCGAATTTCTTGTTGATTTAAAGGCGTTTACTGTATCACTAAATCGAGAAACCATCCTATATTCTAAGATAATATAATGATAAATAATTTGTACAGTTATTCAGTTTCATGAGAATTCCATTTACCAAATGATGCAGCTTTGTACCGAATATAAAGTCCGTATATTCTGTACATAAGTATCCATGTATATCTGTTAGTTACAAGTTTTAAATTGAACTCATACTCTTAAAGTGTTGGCTACTAACAGATTCAAAACATTCCTAATCAATGTTAAGCTAAGATTAAATAACTTTTCAGGTATCTTTGAATCATCATGACTTTGTTCCGGGTAATATAATCTTGTGGTAAGATTCATTTTAACTTCCTAGAAACTAATATCTTTTGATAAAACGAGTCCATATTAAAATCAGTCGACTCAGAGTGTAGGTGAAACTTAACATGAAATATAATCTTTTAAACTCAAAAATCGCATAAAATTGACTTCTCATTTAATATACTTGAAACTAAACATTTTCTAAGGTCATGAAAGGTTAACATTCAATAGTTTTCTTACCTTCAAGGTGCTTTCTTTAGATGGCGTGAAAGATTTCTACATTTTTATAAGGTGCTTTAAGTAGGATTCTTTATCATCAGTAGGTAAAAACATTTTTCTTTACTTGAATTTTGAGTGAGTTGTGGGGATTTGAAAATATTTCAAGTTGTTATTCATCGTAGACTGACATCAGTTGGAGGAACAAAGGAAACGTGGGAGCACTAGACAGCTGTTTCATCCCAGTGCGGGATTTCTAACTGATGTTAGTCTACGATGAATGACAACTTGAAGTATTTCCAAATCCCCATAACTTCCTCAAAATTCAATTGAACTGGTGGACATTGGTGACTAGCTTCGAGAGATATTCCCGAAATTCCAATGAGAAGTCGTGACCCGTGGGGGAAAAGCCTGATGGTCGTGAGGACAGTTACTCAACGATGACATTGGGTGGCGGTTGAGCTATATCGTGAGTTAACAGAAGTTGGAAATATGGAGTGTTGGATTCTGACCCAGTGGCTGAATGGTGACGTGCTGGCCACAGAACCTGAAGGTCGTCGGTTCGAGCCCTGGGTATGTGGGATCGTGGGTGCGCACTGTTGGGGAGTCCCACACTAGGACGAAACAGCTGTCCACGGCTCCTAGGTTTCTTTTTTTCCTCTCTAACTGATGTCAGTCTACGATGACTAACAACTTGAAAATTTTCTTTACATAAACCTGAACACTGTATAAATGACTGCGTCACATCCCACTGTGTTCATAAATTTGTATGGGCGTGTGAACAAACATACATAGGGAGGATATACACTTGGAGGTAGAAGAACATGTATCAAAATGGTTGCAAAAGCAACTGGTTTCACAAACGTCAATAAGCTCAGATGGCAGAAAATCATCAACCGCATCCATTGTAAAACATCTCATTGATAAAGGTCACAAGATTGATATAGGAACTGTCAGAGGGGTATACTTAGGTTTATTGAAGTGCTAACCATAAACTAACTTAACCCCCTTTTAAGTGTGCAGTAGCAGTCTGTCTTTACGCGCTAAGCCTACCCTGGTAATCCTTATTTTATCGTATTATCAAGGTTGTCTTCAAATCATGTCAGGTGAATGCGTGATGAGATTGTTCGAAATTTATAGTGCAAAATACATCACATGTTGTTCAGATAATCTACGTCTTCTAATTATACTATCCAAATTTTCTATATTGCTATGAATATGAATAATAAATTGTGTCCAAAAGGTTATGTAGTAAATGATATTGTTTTTTTTTTACTGTATGACATTTCTAATAAACAGACTTAAATGGAATTATAATCTACTACAATGGTCAAGTTTTACTCCTATGACTTTTAAAATCTGATAGGATGATAAATTTTTCAATAGGAAAATGTTAAACTCGGATTAAAAATTTGAATAACTTCACTATTCATGATAATTAAAATTTCATTTCTATTGCTTTGTACTCACCTTATGTGATAAAATGGTTAACAAGAAAATAATCGAAAACTGGAAGTGGGAGAAGGATACATATGATATAAAAGAATTCAATAATAAGAAAGATAATGAGAGGAATAAAAGATAATGTAAAGATTAATGTAGAAAGGTCATTTAACAAGAGTGAAAATAAAGTGAGGTGATATTCTTTCAGCTGGATGTCTGTAGGGTAAAAAAATTGAATCGTTCAAAAGAGTGAAAATACTGAGGTTTAGGATAAGATAAAAATATATGATGCAATTAATTTATTTGTTACAACTTCAGGAGGATGGTGATGAAAAATTTTGTATAGACTTTAGCATAAACATGCTATTTAATATACATCATCTCGCATTCATATCACAAGAATATCATGTAAGCTGTTGGATCTTTGTCGAATAAAAGCTTATCCAGTAATATCTGTGGGATTTTGATTTCCTTGTGTAAAGTTTTCTTTATCTATTAAAATGATATGAGAAATGCTGGTGACTTCAGTGAGTTAGATCATTCTCATGTTTTATGATTTCACTGTCGTTCAAAAAAAGCTTTAATAAACCAAGAAGTGGAACCAATCATATAATCCTCTTTCCCGAACGACTTAATGTATACAATCCTTAATATATATATATATATATATATATATATATATATATATATATATATATATATAAGCATAGATAGTCATTAGCATGCACGGAGGCCAGCAGTGAACTTCATCTCTGTGACCTAGAGATATCTTTATCCAAAATTGGAAAGACAGCAAGATAGGCTCTCATTATTCTGAAACCACTATGGAGATCTACTGCACAGCACGCAGCATAAAGCATGAACAACATCCGGATTTTCAACACCAACGTCAGTCAACTCAGTGCTTCTATATGATTCAGAAACCTGGCACGTCATGAAAAGCATTTCCAACAAACTACAGACATTCATCAACACCTACCACCTACATTCGATAGTGACACTGAAGATCAGATAGCCAGAATGATAAGAATAAGCAACAAGCAACTCTGACTGCCTGTCAACGAACCAACGAAGCAACAACCTATCACCCAACAGATATGCAGAGGGCAGTGGAGATGGATTTGGTTGAGCATAGACTGAGAAGGTCGATTGGGGACATCAGGCATCAGGCTAGGCCATCGAGTGGAATTGGAAGGGGAAACGATGATTTGGGCGTCTGAGGTGAGGGTTACATGGAGGAGGTTGTGTGAGGAAGAAATGGAAGCTTGTGGGCGGTTGTGGCTGTTGTTTGAGAGGACTGCAGAGGATACAGTGTGATGGAGGTGTGCTACTGAAGTCGTATGTTGTACTAGGAACCCAAGGGAAAAATAATGATAAACACCTATGTTAGAAAATTCTTCTACTTTTTCTTTTAGATTAATGTTATGGTTTAAAGCATTTCGATGACTATATAATTTCATTGGAGATTTCATTTTTTGTACATTCATTTACTTTTTCTCATCCTAATTTTTTTCTTTCAATTCTCAGAGAACAGATTAATTATCCCTTTTTCTTTTCATTTCCCTTTTTTTAAAAATTTAGATATGGCCAATATTGTATTTGTCGTCCTGTTCTCAATTGAAATGTTAATTAAAATGTATAGTTTAGGCATACGATGCTATTTTGATTTTATGTTCAATCGATTCGATTTCTTTGTGGTTATCTGTAGTATTATTGAAGTTGTCTTGATTCAAACAAAAATAATGCCACCATTAGGTGTATCTGTTCTGCGTTGTGCACGTCTACTACGTGTATTTAAAGTTACCAGGTAAGATTAAATACGTGTAACAATGATGCTTATATTTTTTTGATTGCCATCTGATTGATTGGAGCGATTCTTGTTTCCATATTCACGACTGTTCCTGATGCTAGTATGATTATTATTATTATTGTTATTTTTCCTTTCGGTTTCTAGTGGAACATAAGGATTCATTAACACTTTTCCATTGCACTCCGTCCTCTGCAGTCCTCTCAAACAACAGCCACAAATGCCCATAAGCTTCCATTTCTTCCTCACATGATATCCTCCATGTAACCCTCACCTCAGACGCCCAAATCATCGTTTCCCCTTCCAATTCCACTCGATGGCCTAGCCTGACGCCTGATGCCCCAATCGACCTTCTCAGTCTATGCTCAACCAAATCCATCTCCACTGCCCTCTGCATATCTGTTGGGTGATAGGTTGTTGCTTCGTTGGTTCGTTGACAGGCAGCCAGAGTTGCTTGTTGCTTATTCTTATCATTCTGGCTATCTGATCTTCAGTGTCACTATCGAGTGTAGGTGGTAGGTGTTGATGAATGTCTGTAGTTTGTTGGAAATGCTTTTCATGACGTGCCAGGTTTCTGAATCATATAGAAGCACTGAGTTGACTGACGTTGGTGTTGAAAATCCGGATGTTGTTCATGCTTTATGCTGCGTGCTGTGCAGTAGATCTCCATAGTGGTTTCAGAATAATGAGAGCCTATCTTGCTGTCTTTCCGATCGTTGTTTTGAGATTCTTGTCTGTGCAGCCTGTATTTGAAACGATGCTTCCTAGGTGGTAGGTGAAAGCGGCCACTTCTTTAGAGTTTTCTCACATTGATGATGATTGGTGATTTCTGTTTTCGTTGGTTGTTGGCTGGGTATCTTCGTCACCCCTATCTTCTCTTCGTTCACCTAAAAAGAAGTAGCATCTTCTCTGCACCGCCTCTTGTGTCTACTTGTTAGATTTCGCCTGTAGATATTCAAGTTTGTGTGACATTGCACACGAATCATAGGCGAAATGCAAATCTTCTATGCTATTTCCATAGGTCCAGCCAGTGTATGACCATCTTCTCGCTCCTCACGGCTTGCTGGATGATCCTGTCCACCACAATCAAGACAATTTGTGGTATTAGGCAGCCATGTCTTACTCTTGTCTTCACTTCAAAGGCATCACTAAGCTTTCCATTGTTGATCACTTGACGTGTACCTGTTTCATATATCTGTTGAATGAAGTTGATATTAGTGTAATTGCTTGTATTATACCGTTTTTGATTGGATCGAATCGATCGGTCTCTATTGGCATATGGGTTTCTGTGTGGTTGCCCCGAAATTACCTATGTTTTCAGTTATATAATAATGATGGATAGTGGCTACCAGTGGAATTCAGGATGCTCATTTCGCCCTATTTCGGACTCGTCAGCTAGATGTACCTGCCTTCCGGTGGGTGATTTTATTCCCACCGGGATTCGAGCTCGGGAACGATCGCTTCAAAAGCCAGAGCGTTGTCCATCATAACACCGCTTTCTGGGAGGGAGGTACATCCAGCTGACCAGTGAGTCACAAATAAAGAGAAATGCCAGCCACTATCTTTCATTACTGTTCTCGATATTCATGTATGTTTATTTTACGGCTTTTATGCTTTCTTGGAATCGAATTTGGCGGTTTATGGGAGATTAAGTGATATTTTAAGTTGGTTTTCATTATTAACTGACATCCCTTGGAGGAACATGGGAAACCTGTGAGCACTAGACAGCTATTTCGTTCCAGTATGGGACTCTCCAGCAGTGCCTATCCATGACCTAGCCAGAGGTCAAACCCGAGACCCTCAGGTTCCGAGGCCAGCACGTTACCATTCAGCCACTGAATCGGAATCCGATGGTCCATATTTCTAACTTCTGTCAATTCACGATATAGCGCCACCTATATCGAATATCGTTGAGTATTTGTCCCCACGATCACTAGGTTTACCCACTGGTCACCACTTCTCATTGGAACTTCAGGGATCACCTCTCGAAGTCAGTCACCAATGAGCGCTGGTTTAATGAAATTTAAGGGTTTGTGGGGATTTTTTGAAATCATTGACGCGTCAAATCGATCATTTACATAGGGTTTGAACACTTCGGTTTTTATAAGTAATTATAGTAAAATTTGGTAATTAGACTTTATCTACTTGTGTTATTTTCATCTGAAGTTTTGAGATTTAATAAATTATGGGAATAATATTTCACTTCATCAGTGTCTAAACTGTATCCAAAAATCAAAAATCTTCAGAATTCACAATAACCGTTTTGTGGACAACAGAACATTCACGTATCGTTAACAACAACTTCAATATAATTCTATCTGAACAATACGCATTCCTCAGATAGATATAACTTGATGCATTCAGTAAATTAAGTCACAAATCTTCGTTTACATTTTTGACTGATATTGAGATGTATGAGACAGTGAAACAATATTATTTACTGGATTACATTTTAGATCTAATTAATTGTGTATAAAAGTAAACACCTGAGCATTATGTAATAGTATAATTGCATATTGGATTGTTTATTTGATATAGCACACAGTGATAATAATAATACTACTGTGTCCAATTGTGCTATATCAAATAAACAATATAATATAGAGTTTTCATGCATAGTTATACCAAGATAATAGGATTTTCAGTACATCTGGGACGGATTAACTTTAAAAGCCATCTTAACAACTTCTGAAATTACCACCGAAGTTCACTTATAAGTGAAATGGTTACGGCTAACAGATTACAGCTGCAAATATTCAGACAGTGTCCAGGCCTCTACATTGGAGCCTATTTTCCAGCAGTGGTTGATCAATTCCATCCAGTATAACAGTGGGGAGTTATAATAGTCAAATGGTATTACCAACTAATACCATCACCATCATCATCAACATATGACCAGGCGTTACTGAGTAACGGTACGGGTTGCCACAGCTCATATCAGTATATCAAGTAGAAAGGTAGTGAGGTGAAAGATGAAGATAAAAATATTCAGTCAAAAGAAATATAAAGTATGCAAAGAGAGAAAGGAAGAATGAAAAAATGGTGACATTCGGTATAGCGTCGTTAAGATGAGAATAATGTGTGTATACATCTGCGCCACTGACATTGGTCCTGAGCCATGTGATCACCTAGAGTCTCCAACCACTGGTTTCCGTTGTCCCATGAACTTCAACAGGCCAGTCTGCATTGCCCCACATGGCTCAGACCAACAGTCAACGACTTCATAGATTGGTGGCATGTTTTAGTCTCTCCATCTAGGGCCTTTTTCCAACCTGGACCTACTTTAGCCAACATTATGTGACGAGGCAATCGGTGACAAGGCATACGTAACACAAATCCCAACCATCTCAATCGATGAAGGTTCATAACCTCGTCAACGGATTTACCTCTACTTCCTAAAACTCTGTGCCTGACTTCTGAGTTACTCACGTGGTGACACCGCGGAATATTGCCTACACTCTGAAGGCAGCGGTGGTCAAACACTTGAGGCCTAATCACATCTTCCATCTTCAATGGCCATGTTTCACAAGCATTTAGTGGGACAGAGCGAACGGCTGTGCTGTGCAGTACACGCGACCCTTAATAGACAATCGGATATCACGAAGACACCACTAACTAATACGCGTTGTATGAGATGTGTCTATCGTGCCTCAGTGGATTAGGGGGTAGCACTGTGGCGATGGGTACACAATTCGAGTCTCATTAGCAACAATTTCACACAGGAATGAAGGTACACTCAGCTGATGGGTTGTAGATTTCACTGTTAGCCAAAACCAAGTCAGTTATAACCATAAACATTCAGGCAGTATTGCGGCATCTGCATAAGAGACCATTTACCAACAAAGGTTGATCGATTTGATCCAGTATTACAACGGAGAATTATAAGTATCAAGAAATAACAATGAGTTCCTTTATTTTATAAAAACCTACTATTTCATATGAAATAACAAAATCTGATTGGTTATCTCAGCAGTTTTTGGAATAGCCCTTGGAATCACTCCTCAGACGGATAGTGAGTCCTTCTTGTTGCATATATTTGGTGCTGATTTGATAAACAAAGATTTGATTATCAATTTTTCTTTCCACCTCACCAAGTTAATTTTAGGAACTGTCAGTTCATACACGTTATTATCAGTCTTTTTTTATTCAGTTGTTCTTTGTATACTATTGTGAACTTGAATCGATGGACTTGTATATAACTTTCTACGTTGATTTTGTCATGTCTGTCTTTTTGTCAGTCGATGTCATCGCATTGCGTGGAAGATTTTTTGCAGATTCCTTTATCTTACTTGAGTCTATCAGTCTTGATGTAACTAGCGTTTGTGTCCAGACAGGCCACCCACTCTGCTTTACTACTCTGATGGCAAATCCTTGGAGTAACACTGAAATAACTATGAGCAATAAATTACTCTTGAAACATAATCCAGTAAATAATGCTGTTTCCCTATATGATACGTTTGATTAACCAACTAAAATAGAATTACATCCTACCACATTGACCTAGTTTAACGCTTTTGAAAAAACAGAAACAGTAGATGAAAGGCAAATGCACTTGCTACAAAGTATGTGATTTCTGTTTTCAGTCATTAAATACACAGTAGGTCTAAGAAAGATTAGGGACACACGAAAAGCATTTCCAACAAACTACAGACATTCATCAACACCTACCGCCTACACTCGATAGTGACACTGAAAATCAGATGGCCAGAATGATAAGAATCAGCAGCAAGCAACTCTGGCTGCCTGTCAACGAACCAACGAAGCAACAACCTATCACCCAACAGATATGCAGAGGGCAGTGGAGATGGATTTGGTTGAGCATAGACTGAGAAGGTCGATTGGGGCATCAGGCGTCAGGCTAGGCCATCGAGTGGAATTGGAAGGGGAAACGATGATTTGGGCGTCTGAGGTGAGGGTTACATGGAGGATATCATGTGAGGAAGAAATGGAAGCTTGTGGGCAGTTGTGGCTGTTTGAGAGGACTGCAGAGGATATAGTGTGATGGAGGTGTGCTACTGAAGCTGAATGTTGTACTAGGAACCCAATGTAAAAAATAATTAATGACAAAATTCCTTTCATACTAACTTTTTTTCATTATATCTATGTGTCAAGTTTGTTCTCTTAACTGTTCTACGTTTGTTTCACCGGATGTTTTACAATTGATTTCATTTTTACAATTTTTCTGAAATGAGAAGAGATTTTCGTAGATTTAATAGGAAATCATAATTTATTTATCTAATTTTTCCCTAATTTTTAATCTGCAAGTATTTCCTTAATTCCAAAGAAAGAAAAAAGCAAACATCCATTTCAGTCGATATAATTAAATTACACTGTGTTCAAATTGTATTTTTCTGTCATACACTACTAACTAATTTTTTTAAGTAATACATATTTCTACTCGTATTCTCCTCTTAGTACTTCCAAGGCTATATCAATGAAAGAACCCAAAGATTAGTTAACAATGTGGTTTTACTGACCAATTAGCGAGTGTTTGTGTACACTGATTAACATATCAAATCTATAGTTTCTATTCGGGTTCTACTATTATTTATGTATGAGCTACGGTTTACCTGAGTCCATGATAGAATAAACTATCACTCTAATGTTTCGTTTCTAATCAACCACTTGTATAAGAGATCAAATATATCTCACGAACCGGTTTCCACCATTATTTTCCTATATGTTTATCTGCTATTCACTTTTACAATATCGTGAAGTAATTGACGTGTTCATGACACTTTTTTTTCACCTATTAACCATTAAACTATGATTTGATGCTTGAAAATCCGGTTTTGTGTAATCATTCTAGCATAATACAAACACTTAAGAGCTTTTAAACTAATCAACTTTTGAAGTCGTCACATCCATTAAGAGAGAACGTAATCCTACAATTTTAAGCAACTGAAATTTTTCTCAAGTTTAGATAGTGCGTAATCATTTTTATTATTTTTCCCTTTGGTTCCTATTACAACATTCAGCTTCAGTAGCACACCTCCATCACACTGTATCCTCTGCAGTCCTCTCAAACAACAGCCACAACCGCCCACAAGCTTCCATTTCTTCCTCACACAACCTCCTCCATGTAACCCTCACCTCAGACGCCCAAATCATCGTTTCCCCTTCCAATTCCACTCGATGGCCTAGCCTGACGCCTGATGTCCCCAATCGACCTTCTCAGTCTATGCTCAACCAAATCCATCTCCACTGCCCTCTGCATATCTGTTGGGTGATAGGTTGTTGCTTCGTTGGTTCGTTGACAGGCAGCCAGAGTTGCTTGCTGCTTATTCTTATCATTCTGGCCATCTGATCTTCAGTGTCACTATCGAGTGTAGGCGGTAGGTGTTGATGAATGTCTGTAGTTTGTTGGAAATGCTTTTCATGACGTGCCAGGTTTCTGAATCATATAGAAGCACTGAGTTGACTGACGTTGGTGTTGAAAATCCGGATGTTGTTCATGCTTTATGCTGCGTGCTGTGCAGTAGATCTCCATAGTGGTTTCAGAATAATGAGAGCCTATCTTGCTGTCTTTCCGATCGTTGTTTTGAGATTCTTGTCTGTGCAGCCTGTATTTGAAACGATGCTTCCTAGGTGGTAGGTGAAAGAGACTACTTCCTTTAAGTTTCTTCCTTTGATAGTGATTGGTGCTTGTTGTTGATGCTGTTTTTGGTTGGGTATCTTAATCACCTCCGTCTTCTCTACGTTCACTTGAAGTACCGTTTTCGCTTCCTTGCCTCTTCTGTCAACTTGTTAGTTGTTGCCTGTAGATCTTCGAAATCTGGGTAGCCTTGGTAGGTTCATACATGGTGTGCACATTCCATTCCTCCAGGCTTACTGTAGCTTTCATCGAGAGAAGACACCTCGTCTGACTGGCTTCCAGAGGGCTTTCACCAGCCGGCGTCATTTCGTCTCTCCGATTCCTGCGAGAAATGAGTTTGTTTTATTTTTATAACTTCTTTGTGCTTGGAAGTTTCTTTAGCTATTGGATTGGTTTTCCGAGGCAGAGTTCCTAGCCCAATGCCCAACCTTCTCTGTTTATCCGGGCTTAGGACCAGCAAGTATCTAGTGAACTAGTTAACCAGTTGAGGTTCCGTGCGTAATACAAATTATAGATATCCAGTTGGTAAGAATTTCTTGGAAGAATTTGGGCTCTAAATGTGATGCTCCTCTCTTTGGTAAAAGTTTGATTTTTTGAGCATACTGGGGTTATGTTGAAGCTTACTTTTTACGATGTGAGATGCAGTTTAACTTGTCTTTCTGTGTCGTGCATAATAACTGAGTCAAAAAACATCTACTTTAGCTTGATAACGTTTTCCAATTCATTTTAGTGTCGTGAGTATATATGTCTTATGTATGCGGTCGACCGGTAAATCTTGGTTAATCCTTAAGACTAGACAATATGCAATTGGTTATTGTTCTAGTGTCTAATCAATGCTTAAAGGGGTCTAACATAGTCCGTAAAGCTCAGTGGTAACACCTCAGACTTCAGCACTCCGTAACAGAAGTTTAAACCTTTCTGTAGACATGATTTCCTTTACGGCTACACGAACATCTTTCCAATGAATTCTGATAGGCATGAAACTCAAATAGAAGAGAATCTTCTATGAACTGCCCCCAGTGTTGTCCATCACTTTTCATTTTGTAATTTTACCTAATTATTTTTACATCACTTGTTGCAATTCCATGTTTTTTTTTTCATCTTTTTTCTTTCAGATACTGGAGTAGCTTACGTAATTTAGTTGGATCACTGTTGGCTAGTTTAAAATCAATTGTTAGTTTATTAGTTTTACTATTTTTATTCATTGTGATATTTGCTCTCCTTGGTATGCAATTATTCGGTGGACGATTTAATTTTCCCCGTGAAGAGAAGCCTCGATCAAATTTCGATAGTTTTTATCAGTCATTGATAACAGTTTTCCAGGTGAGAATTATTGACTTTTAATTTGATTTATTACTTTGTTAAAGCATATTCCTGACAAATTTTTATTAATTTTTTTGTCATTATTTTGGAAGCAGTCATCTTCGTATAAGAAAAAGGTAGCTAATTGAGGCCTAAGTATCTTCTTACAGAAAGGTTGAGTTTCGTTAGTTTCTGCCTTACAACTATAGAATTTAGATAAAGGATGTCATCAAAACAACTGAGAAACTGATGTTGTTATTGAGAACCACATCGATGGAGTTTATTCAGTATCTGTGACTTGATATTGTTCGAAGACTTAGTGCCTTACAAAAAGCACTTCCAACAGACTGCAGACGTACATCATCAAAAGCTGCAGCCTACGCTCACTCGATACTAAACATCGCATGACCAGAGTAGTAAGAATAAGCAATAAGAAACTCTGGCCGACTGGCAGCGAACCAACCAAGAAGCTATTTACCAACAAATATACAGAAGAAAGTGGAGGTGGATTGAATTGGATATACACTGAGAAGGAAGATGGTTTGGGGACGTCATGCGACAGGCCAGGCCGTTGAGTGAAACGCAAATGCGAAATGATAAGTCGGGCTTCCGAGGATGAAATGGAGGAGAGGGTATGGGGAAGAAATGAAAGCTTGTAGGCAGTCATAGAACCATATTGAAAAGACTGCAAAGAAGAGAGTGAAATAGCGACGTAGTACTGAATCCCTGTGTTCCACTTGGAACCCAATGGACAAATAATATTGATAATAAAAATGCTAAACGACAATTTGTCTTAGTTTTGGATTTCTGAGCAGTTAGTCGTTATTACCGTGACGAGAATGGAGCCCACGGCTATTAGGTCTTGAGAGAAGAAGATTATCATTAAGCCATTGGATTGTACTTCAGCGGTTCTCGTCTTCTGAATTCTGTTATTTTGTTATCCAACACTACTATCATCCAATATTTGTCCTCACATCCAACTTGTTAAGTTAGATAGATGAACACCTTTTGTAATCTCCTCTGAATGGTTATGATATATAATTCTCTTAAGTGATTGCAGTTTTTCCTTCACATCTGCTTGATAATTATAAACTAGTACTGACCTTTGGATAGAATATAACATACCTAAACTGAGTAAATCTTCACCAATATTTTCTTGACTGCACATTTGATTTTCATCTTTTTTGTACTAAGCTGTTCTTTTCATATGAGTCTTAGATACTATTTCTGAAGAATCTGAGTAGTTGGAAGCCCCTTAGACTAATCTGGAGATCTATGCATTAAGACCACATCTAGTTAAATCAGCGCCAAAAAAAAAACGAAACGGTCATCCGATGTTTATATCATTCTGGTCTGGCAGGTGAAATCTACAAATCAGCCTGATTGGTTTCCAACTTCTGAATTTGTTTAGAAGTAGCACGTCTCACTAGTTCATGACACTTTTGTGCTGAAAACCACACTTTGTGATTTTGGCTGAGTAGTTGAAAAGCTATTCAATTTTAAGAAATATCTTTTCGTGATAGCCAATCAGATGTTAGGTTCCACTTATTCATAATTGATTGATTCATGAAATCAAACAGTAAAACGTAGTGCATTTGTTGTGCTATACTTCTCAACTTCATGGCTACATTGAAAACTTGATTGATAAACTGAGATGAGTTCTAGACAACTGAGAGTCGAAAATTACCTTGATTGTCAACTGAAGACTGATTCACTGAACACATTTGTACTGTCTCTTGATTTCAAAGCATATCTATCATACCATGAAGGTATCTTTTCTAATTTTAAGGATTCAGCATACATAGACAACTTTCTCAAGCTGTTTTGACAGAATAATTACATTTTATTTAAATTATGTCAAAAAAACAGAATGATGTACCTTTTAAAGAAATAAACTTACATTCAATATCAATGAAGTCGAAATTTATATGACGTTATGTAATTGTAGTGAAATCAAAAAATTACTGTGGTAATGAGTCTCAGTATTTTGTCAAATATCTTCACATTTCCGAACTTTGTCGACAATATATTTCACCTTTCCTTTTTTATGTCATTCATTCTATTTTTATCACACATCATAAACTACACCAGCATGTCATTATCAATGTCACTACAATCATCCCTGTATATACATAGAATTACTAGAAATACTCTTTCCTGAATCAACTGAACTAAATTTAAAATTGGAACTCGAATATGATAAACAGTTGAGTTTCACAATTCATTTCATAAAGTAATAGCACTAATGATCATGGGAGATTATGGTTTGATGATCTGAGATTGTTGTACTTCAGCAAACTAGTATTTTTATATTGCGTGGTGATTAAAGGTGACATGAAAATATAGACTGCAGCCAAAATACCTGCTCGGTGTTCTACCAACTGAGCTACGAGATCCAACTGCTCACCAGAATTTTATTTCATTTCAATCATCAAGTGTTTTATCCTACTACCATGTGAATTTGTGACGAGTTACTACCGCTTGATTATATTCATACTGGTTGCGTAATCAGGACTTCTCATCCCAATCTAAATCGAAGTGAATTGGGAAGAGAGGGAGTATTATATTGATTATTATTTGACTATGTGAATGTGAGATAGCTGTAGTTTGGCCTACGTTTATTTGTACTGGTTTGGTTCAAATGTGGCAGTGGTCCAGATTTTCATCTCACCTTCAATCATCACCCAGTACAAATTATAGAAGGGTTGATTAAGATCATTTCTGATGTATCTAGTAAGAAAATTTGTAACACATTAATCTGGTGTATGTTATACTTGCCTATTTTAGTAAACAGTTGGATATACAATCAGAATAAAGAGAAAGACTAGGTACTTCTCAAACCAGTATGAAATGTATAATACTTTGTGGAACACAAACTTACTCTTAGTCTTTTAGTAGTCAATATGTCAATATTTCTTTTCAAAGTCTTGTAATCACTATGGTATTCTACTCAGTGTATTACTCGTTGAATACTTCGATTTTGTCATCTTGAATGAGTTACTGATGATTGCTCCTATGTTTCAGTCACTTACTCTCATCCTTGTACTAACCAATCGAATTCATTTCACTTATATGTCCACAATCAATTAAAGCATTTAGCTGTGTTTTTATAACAGAGCAAAAGTATTTTTTTATTCGAACTCATTTTTTTGTTTATTCATTCTCAGCCATGAATAATTGATTGATTCTTGATTACAACTTTGAATTTTTTTTTCTCTAAAGAAAATTAGATGATGAAACTGTTTATTGTGATTTTTTTCCTTTTTAAAGTTGAACTATGCCATTCACTCAATGACTTTATTAATCTTTGTTTAAAGTGGAAGGTTGTGTCACTACTTTGTTTTCTTCTTCTCTTACTACTTCCTTCAAAGTAACTGATTACATGAAAGGATTGTTAGTATTCTTTTGTAAAACACTACAGTCCTCTAATGTTATACAGCCTAGAGTCAGTGAAGTTAGTTACATCATATGGATTCACGTGACAAATAGGTGAAATCCTTGAAAACTGAGGTGAATGAAATTAGGATAGTGTTGGCAGAAGGACTTGATAGCTAAGTTGGTAGAGGATGCCGGTGGTAGTCACTGGTTTAAATTCTACCGTAACCGAAGTTTTCATTTCCCTTTTAATCATCCATTCTATCGGTTACCTTATGTAGTCTCATAAATAACAAATATTTCATATGAATATTAAAATTTGAATCTTTCACTGTTTGTAGTCAACTTTTCAACTGTTTTGTTTTTCACTTATTCTGAACTAAACATTTTGAAAGTTGTTGCACAGGAGGTGACTATTTTTGCTCCAGCGGTTTAAGGGATAACTCCTTGGGTATTGAAGTGACTCGTCTTGGCCTCGAATCCCAGTGACAACGGCATCAGTCCCTAGAGTACAAGTTCATCCAGTTGACGAGTCACAAGTGGGACGAAACGCACGTGCTTTATTTCACTACCAGCCATCAAGCAGATTTCAACATAAAGATCATGGAATTTTAGAGACTAATCTAACTCAGATTATTAATTTCGATCACTATTTTGTTTATATTTTGTTGTATACAGATTACTTGAAGTTCACAATCGAAGAAAAGGAGAGGTATTAAGGTCATATGGTGGGAATTGTGTGATGCGAATAAAATATGCTGATATGTAAACTTTCATGATTTCATTACTTTCTACTGTCATCCTAATGGGCATCATTTTCATCCCTCATATGCTATGGCAAGATTTTTATGATCAAACATAACATTAAAATCTGAGATTGTTGTACTTCAGCAAACTAGTATTTTTATATTGCGTGGTGATTAAAGGTGACATGAAAATATAGACTGCAGCCAAGATACCTGCTCGGTGTTCTACCAACTGAGCTACGAGATCCAACTGCTCACCAGAATTTTATCTCATTTCAATCATCAAGTGTTTTACCCGACTACCATGTGAATTTGTGACGTGTTACTACCGCTTGATTATATTCATACTGGTTGCGTAATCAAGACTTCTCATCCCAATCTAAATCGAAGTGAATTGGGAAGAGAGGGAGTATTATATTGATTATTATTTGACTATGTGAATGTGAGATAGCTGTAGTTTGGCCTACGTTTATTTGTACTGGTTTGGTTCAAATGTGGCAGTGGTCCAGATTTTCATCTCACCTTCACTCATCTTCCAGTATAAATAATATTGAAAGACCATTAAATGCATATATTCAAAGCTATAATGACACATTTTCTATTGGAAGTAGTTACTTTCATCATGAAGGCATGTATTTCGTTGTTATGAATCGAAATATAATCAACAAGTATATTCGCAAGGAGATTAACTTTTTGACGTTTTCAGATCGCTAATGCAATTATCCGAGCTTTGTAGCCAGTTTACTACATTTACTGGAATTATCATCACATTTGAAAATAATCATTAATCACTTCTGTATATAACTACAAATTATCTGAGTAACACTTACGAATTAATTAAGTGGCTTTTTTAATGTTATATATATATATATATATATATATATATATATATATATATGTATATATATATACATAAAGGCTTTTCTTGACTGTATATTAAGAGTGAGGTCAGTTAGTTTCTCTAAGCATGGTAACTTAGCCGAATATGGTATGGATCTCATACAAAATTCATACATTAACCTCAGAAAACGTTTTTCATTAAGACATGAGTTGATGTATTATTTCATTGTTTTTTTTTGTGGATATTGATCAAAATGATTAGTTAAGGGAGGGGTGGGTTATGAAAGTTCCTCTTCTTCAGCACTAAAGCCTTCTGAGTACGGCTATTTTATTACATTCTTTCTTCTTTGTTAATTGTAGCATATTAGCTGTACTAATTACTATTGTAGTGGGCTTTGGTGATAAGAATTGATATAAGTAGTATATGTTGAGAGGGTGGCAGGAATCATAGGAAATTACCAACAATGGGTAAATGTTCTGCCAAGATCAATCCAAGGGATAACGCAGGTGTATTACATTGAATGATGCTGATAAGAATGTATGAAGAGGAAATCAAGAGAGAAACAGAAGAGGAAATGAAGTACATTTTGCAAGTGAGGGGTTTAGTGCCAGGTGTACCATATATAAGCACTACCGCCTACTGACTAGTTAGTGTTTTAAAAATTAATCATTATAACCTTTGCACAACTTATAGATATCAGACAAGACGTAGATTTCATCACACAGCCATCTTAAAGATTCACATATAAGGCATTCTCTTTTCATTACATTTTTGGACAAAGAATAATCTTATTTCAGCTTAATCTGTTTACAATTATTTAAGTGATACTGCTTCTAATTCTCTGTATTTATTTTCATCTGAGTGTTCGAGTAGACTAATGCTGAAAAGTCATTATATCCTGGAGCTCACTATGACTCCAATCTGTGATTTCAACTTTATGAGGTTCTGTTTTTACAACATTAACAGATTCAATTTAACTCATTCATAATCATTTTTAAGTCAAAAACTAAGGGATTTTTTTTCACTGATTGATTATTATGAAGGTAAGAAAACAAATTTACTTTGAAATTCTGACAGTCTGTTTAGTTTTCCATTGTTTTCGCATTAATTAACAGTTGGTCGCATTCTATGGAAGTTTTCATAATCACTTTCAGGGTAATTAATAAAGTAATCGTTATCATATATTAAGAATATTCAAGCTTTAGAAGATATCAAGGAGTGAATGCATATGCTCTAATGTGACCGATTTTAAGCCATGTCACCAAGATTCTTCAATAGTAATTTCCATCGTCTCAAAGACTGCAGCCAAGCGGTCGACATCTTCCCATATGGCTCAGACTAACAGTTGGGAACTTCATCGACTGGTACCACGTCTTAGTCTGGCCACTTCGAATCCCTGTACCAACTTAATCCACCTTCCCCTAGAGATAGGTGGTGACTTATCATGAGCAGTAACAGCATTCTTCAAAGTGTTCATCAAAGACAGCATACATAAATGCTTCTTCTGACATTATCTAATAATGTTTTCTGTACCTATTTATTCACCATTAAGCTTACCATTTCATCCTACTTCAAAGATAATCTAGGGTAAAAAAGCACTAGACAGTTGTTGTGGAGGATAGTTTCAACACTGGAGTTGTGTGGTACAATATCGAAGGCTAAAGTAGTAGAGGACCAGAACCCTGTTAGCCAGAGATCAGACTTAATAAAGTCACTCATCAATATATATATATATATATATATACATATAATTTGCCCCTTGGGTACCTATTAGAACATAGGGATTCAGTAGCATATCGCTATTTCACTCTCTCCTCTTCAGTTCTTTTAATTTGGCTCCACGACTGCTCATCTTCACTTTCTTCTTCTGGATATTTGTTGGCCAATAGATTCTTGGTCGGTTGTTCCGTCACCAGCCTGGTTGCTTATTCTTATTTTTCTGGCCATCCATCTGATCTCTATTCTCATTATCGAGTAAGCGTAGACGATATATGTCTACAGTTTGTTGGAAATGCTTTTCGTGACGCGACAATTCTCTCAACCATCACATAGAAGCACTGACTTACTTGACTGATACTAGTGTTGAAAATGTGGATGTTGCTCACACTTTCTGCTGAGTGCAGTGTGAAGCAATGAGCTGCAGTAGATCTCCACACTGATTTCAGGTTAATGAAGGAGGACCTGTATTGTCTTGATGTGTTTCCGATCGTGGCTGCCTTTGACATCCTCATGTGTGTCGCTGTAGCAGCCGCCACTGCCTGTAGTTGAAATGATGCTGTCTCGGTAAGTGGGTAGGTAGGTGGAAGCGACAACTTCCCTTAGATTTCTCCCATTGATGTTGACTGGTGCTTGTTGTTGTTGCTGTTGGTCGCTGATTAGGTGTCCTTACCAACTGTGTCTCCTCTAGGTTCACCTGAAGGAAGTCCTATCTTCCTTCCCTGCCTCGCCTCTTCTGCCAACATGTTAGTTTTTGTCTGTAGGCCTTCGAGTTTTTTTGACATTAGACATAAATCATTGTCGGTGAAATAAAAATCTTCTTCTGAGGTCTTTTCATTGGTCGAATCGTGTATGCCCCTCTTCTTACTCCTCACAGATTGTTGCATGATCTGGCCCTGTCCAGTCGACCACAATCAGGAAGATTATCCATGATGGTAGGCGGCAACCTTGTCTTGTTTTATTCCTGTCTTCACTTCAAAGGCGTCACTGAGCTTTTCATTGTGTTGTGCATCACTTGTCATGTAACATCAAATAGCATGTAGCTATATATATATATATATATATATATATATATATATATATATATATATATATATATATATATATATATATATATATAGAGAGAGAGAGAGAGAGAGAGAGAGAGAATGCTTATTTATGATTCTCAGGGAAGTACAGTATCATTCGATATGCATTACTCCCCTTGTACATTGATCAAAGATTATTGATTACATAAGCTCCCGAATCTTTGTGTCGTACTCCTTATTCTATTTTCATCTTTTTTTCCCTATAGATTTTAACTAGTGAAGATTGGAATGAAGCTATGTACAACGGAATTCGTTCATATTCAAATAGTCGTGTTGGTATAATGGTCTGTTTGTACTATGTCATACTTTTTATCTGTGGGAACTGTATCCTTTTTTACTTTAGAAAATCTATTGAACTGTTTTTAATCCTCTTATCCTTTATGTAATAATTTTAAGCATTTGTAATAGTAAAATGAAAAAAAAGCAATTCAAAAATACTTTGAACGCATTGAGCTTTCAAAAAGAAAGCCAAGATATAATCAAAGACAAAGTTGAGTTAGCGTTTAACAGATAGATCAACGAAGAACTCAACACACGAGTATATCGTGTTTAGTTGACAAACTTTTCAGTAAATTTAAAAGAAGGGAATAGAAAGTGAATAACATAGTAGGTGAAAAAAACTATGTAAAAAAAGATAGAGTTTGAATGAATGAAGAATGATAAAAATAGTCGAGGTTTTGATCGAGCCATACGGTTATAACTCGAACAATTTATACCTATTTACTGAAATACCGAAGCAAGATATAGATAGTGTGATCATGATCATACGTTGATGTATGTGACTATTTATCCTTATAGCCGAGTTAGTTGACTCGAAACATCATTCTGTATTAACAGAAATTTTAGATATCCATGTTAAAGCAAGTCACTAATGAGCATTGAAGGTAATCCAGTTAGTGATTTGTACGAATTGATTGATTAATTTCAAGGTAGGTATTCATTATGGATTGATATCCATTTGAAAAGCAATGAAATTAGCCACTCCCTCTAATGGCACCCATAGGAAATAGGCTGAGTAAAACTTGGGCACTATGATAGAATTTAATTCCATATTAGATTTGTTTGTTTGATTTATAACACATAGTGATATAGTATTACTATTAACTTGGTGACGTTTCGAGCATAAATTCTCTATTGGTCATAATCATTCAATGTCAATGTAATCACACTCCTATCAACAACCGATTTTCATAATTCTGTCACCTCACAGTCTTCGTTTCTGTCGGTAGTAAAATCTCTGGGGTAGGTGTGACATCATTCCTATTACACGTATTGCATGTTGATTCGATGAACAAAGATTCAGTAATCAATCTCTCCATCTATTTATATTCTTTGAAACAATTAGTCCCTTTGATAAATTTCGACAACGCTATTAGAAGACGGAGATTATCTGAAAAATGTGATGTATTTGCGCAATACATTTCGAACAATCTGATCACACATTTACTTGTCAAGTCAATTTATATATGAAAATTAAAGGTCAAATATAGTGAAAATGAAAAGGTTGTGATACTAGTCTTGGTAATATAATCAGATGAGGGTTACCAAGGTAAATTAAGTGAAACAACAAATTATTTTTGTACACATAGTGGGGGATTAAGTTTACGAATAGCTAACGCTTCGGCAAACTTCAGTATGCGCCCCTGATTATTCTTGTATAATATCCTAAAGGATGTTTTCGTATTAACCCTGTGACTCATTTCGATGGTATTGGTTTGCTATAGATGACGATGAATGTCTGCCACCTGCACTTATGAAAGTTTGTGTGTTAAACTGTTTTTCTAACCATTTGGGTATGTGTTCACCCACCCTAGTCTGCATTGAACAATGTATGTGTGGGCACACATACATAGGGAGGAGTAATCGTATGATCAGATTGTTCGAAATGTATTGCGCAAATACATCATAGTTTTCAGATAATCTTCGTCTTCTAATAGCGTTATCGATATTTATATTCTACTTGAATGCAGTGGCTTTGTCCCAACCTAAAAACTCACTCAGAGATAAGCTTTGTCGGCTTAAAGATCCGATAGAACCAATTCAGCAAAATAATCTAATCTATCAAATTCCATGTAATGACTGTGATTTGGGTCAGGTACATAGGTGAAACCGTTCAGCTGATCGGGGTCAATTAGAATAGCCGAAGATAGGAATTTAGCTGGATATAGAATAACAGACCCGAATAAGATCAACAATCTAGAAAAACACTCAGCTATTGCAACGCACGCATTAACACACAACCACACAATGTGATGGGTGAGATAAAACCACTATACTTATATCCAATATAACTAGGTGGAGAGACAGGGAGATTGATTAATGAATCCTTGTTCATAGAATCAACACCCAACACGTGTAATACGAATGACGCCACACCTATAACAGAGATATGGAAGATTTTACTACCAATACAAACGAAGAATATGAGGTAACATAACTATAAGAATCAAATGTCGAAAGTGGTATAATTACATTGATGTGATTATGAGCAGTAGGGGATTTATGCTGGAAACGTCATGAAGCAAATAACATTGTATCACGGTATATCATAAATCAAATAAACAAATCTAATATGGAATACGCTCAGTGAATTGATTTGCATTGCTTTATTATCCTTATTGTTATGCAATAAAGTAAGGTATTTGTTAACGACAGAATAAGGATTGTCTCTATACATCCCTAGCTAGGGTATATTATAAAACAGTCATCAAACCCACTGACGTACATCAGGAACACGAAACATTTAAAGTATGTTTTTTATGAAATAAGTAACGTCAATATTCACCTATGTGTGCATATGAAATATTCTGACTGATTTCAAATTCAATTTAGGACAAACTCGAAATCATAATTACACTCTTTTGATAACTGATACGAAATCACTAAGTGTAGAATTTGAATCTTATCTATTCGAAAGGAAATAGATCACGTTTTAGGTGTTCTGTAAGCAATATCATATTGTACATAGTGAACAGCAAGCTTTATAGTTTTACGAAGATTCCAGTTGTGTTTTTACTGAAAGAGTTATTTTGAAACAATTAGTCTCATTTATGAATTTGGATAATGTAATTAGAAGAGTTAGATTATCTGAAAAATTTGATGTATTTGAGCTTTACATTTCGAACAATCTGATTACATTTTTACTTGTTAAGACTCATTGGATGATGATATTAAAATACTAACTGAAACATTAGTGAAAAATGGATATCTGTTGGAGTTCACGAACCATTGCAAAATATCAGCCACGATTGAAACCTAGTGTGTACTCTTCTTCGAAGAAATACGTTCACATCACGTTACCGTACAGAAGAGAATCTAGTAGCATAATATTACAACGAAGATTAAGGTCTGCTGTTAGCAAAACGTACTATGCAGCTAAGCTTATCATAGTTGAGATGACCAAACACCTTCTGCAATGTAGACTTCAACGCTGCATAAACGATTGTATTACACCCAATGCGCCTATAAATTCACATGTGTGTGTGGACAAACATATATAGGCAGGATTTGAAGGTAGGGGAATATGTACCAAAATGCCTACAAAAGTTACTGGATTCACAAATATCGATAAGCGCAGATGGCAGAAAACCATCATCCGCATCCATTGTAAAACATATCATTGATAAAGGTCACAAAATTGATATAGGAACTGTCAGAGGGGTATACTTAGATTTGTTGAAGCGCTAGCCATTAACCGATTTAACCCCATTGTGTGTTCAAAAGCAGCTTGTCCTTACTCTGAGCCTACCCTGGTAATGCCCACTGTGTCATATTAACAAGGTTGCCTCTAAATCATATATGTCCTTTCCCCACTTCCACTTTATATATATATATATATATATATATATATATATATATATATATATTACATTAATAAGTTAATTCATGATTAGATTGTTCAAAATGTATGGCAGTTAATACTTTACACTTTTTTCAAATAAACCGCGTCTTCAAAAGTGATTAATAATTAAGCTTTTAGTGATCCCGTCCTGCTGATGCTTACATATATGAATGAATAATGTATTTTTTGGATTGTTTACAGTGCGAGTATAAATTTTAATAATTTCCATAGTAATTTCTTTAACCAGTGAAATAAAAAATCATCCCATGAATAGATATACTACTCAATGTCTTTTTGGCTATTGCTGTTGATAATTTGGCTGATACTGGTCAAATGGAAGAGAAAAAAGATGAAACAAATGGTGAAAAGTCTGAAAATGATATTGAACAGCTTGTTGATAATACAGGAGAAGAAGCAACCTTAGGTAATCGAGATAATGAATCAGATGGAAATAAAGAAAATAAATCATATGAACAATTGACTGTTCGAAAATCATCCAATACTATTGTTAATCCAGAAGGTCAACTTACTGAAGTTCATCATGAATTTAATGATGTTACACAATTATTAGATCAATTAAAGTAAGATTATTTTACTTGTTAATTATTCATTTATACATTACTCGGAGTAGATGTCTGAATGCAGTCAGACACATTTTTGGATGTTCCAAGTGTCAATGTTCATTTCTAAAAGCAAAATCCATATGTTAATGATGAATCGTGGCTAGCAGTGGAATCCAGGATGCGCATTTCGTCTTTTTTGAGACTAGTTAGCTGGATGTACCTGCTTCCCAAATAGGACGAAATGCGCATCCTGGATTCCACTTCTAGCCACGATCCATCAATAACGTAATTAGAACACTGAGAATATCGAGGCATCCGCACAGAAGCACATATGCCAACAGAGACCGATCAATTCGGTCCAATCAATCACGATATGATATAAAAACAATTATACTAAAATCCGTATGAAACTAAAGAATTACTGGTTACTGTATAGTTTAAAGAACCCAGCATTGTTTGTAAACCTTATAATTTGAACTGAAAAGTGGTTGATCACCAGTAGTTAAGGTAGTTTAAAAGAAATCATTGACAATTTAAATGAATCAACTGGGCCTAAATAAAACAAGCATATTCACTCACTATCCAGTGTTTATATTTGTAATGTTGTTGCCTGTATTATCACTTTGTTGATTGGACCGAATTGATTGGTCCGTATAGGCACATGAGCTGCTTTACGGATGCTTCGATATTGCCTGTGTTTCATATATATATATATTAATGATGGATTATGGCTAACAGTGGAATCCAGGAAGCATCCTTTTAATTGCTATTTGGGACTCAGTTGCACTGTGATCTAGTGGATAACGCTCTAGCGTTTGAAATGATAAGTTCCAAGTTCGCTTCCCACTGGAAATAATATCACTCACTAGGAGGGAGGTACATCCAACTGATGAGTCCCAAATGGGACGAAATGAGCACTGTGGATTCACTGCTAGCCACTATCCATCATTAACATTTTATTTGTACATTTTGCCTCATTCATACCCCTTTTCATCAACTCTCTAATGTTCGTCTTCTCTTTGATTTTTGCATACTTGTCATTTCTTCTTTGACTGTATAATTTTTTTCCACTTCTCTATTTTTCATGGTTTAAGCATTTTCATACAAGAAAAGTGCTATAAGCATCATCATTCTTATCAAAAATATTAGTAATAAAAATAACATAGTCATAGGCTTTTCGCATAATTAAGAAATACGTTGTTCAATTATTTTTTAAAAATTTATCTTATTTATTTAAAGACGTAAAGTTACGCATATGTTTATGTATATTTACGACAATTAAAGATAATCCATCAGAGTATTAGGTCCTGGTAATATAATCTCTTCAGCATATAGGCTGCATCATAATTCCTAAGAAGCCAAAAAGGCAAATAATGGTGCAAACCATCAGCTTTAATGAAATCATACTAACTCAAGATAAGGCTAAAATCAAATATTATGGAGTGATAATGACTGCATCAGTATCATCTAAGCCGATTTTAACTCATATTGATAGAATGTCTATGCAACATTGTTTGTGTGTTAGAGGAGCAGCATATGAGTAAGGTGAAGGTGAAACATACAATACCAGAAAAGGAAGAAAAAACAATTGATGCGGTTGTGAACATATGATGAATTCGGCAATTTGGACACAAGTTTCACATATGAAGCGAATGTATCGCTGGGTAAAACTGAAGACGATTATTTTCGGAAAAGAAGTTGCAAGTGATCAGAAAACGATGTAATACCAATCTATTCAATCTTTACGGTTCATTTGAGCCATGTACAGCGATGAAAACTGCCTACCTAGAATTCTCAACATAACGATACCAAGCGATCTGAAATTCTTGGTGGCTTAATTCAAAATCGGTAACAATGGTGAATATATATATACTCCCTGCTACCTTCAAAATTTCGAACATTTTCACTAACCCTCATCAGTTTTTCCCATTTTCACTCTACACTTTCGCTACCTTTAATGCCATTGTCATTTAAACTACTTCCATAAAAATTGTTCTGAAGTATGAAAAGTTGAATCTACATACTTTTATGCAAAGTTCTGCCAGCATTTATTATCGGACTTACAGAGTAATTGTCTAACACATTAAATATATTCTCTCGTCATCTCATAAGGTATGTACCTTCTGTGCTAAAGAATAAGTGACGTTATTTTTAGTTCATTGCTGCATCTTTTTACGCAAAAACACGCTAGCTATGTTGTCCAATGAGTATCTGTATTTCTGATCATGGCATTCTAGAAATAGAGAATGTTAGTTAAGTTTTAAGTAGAATAATTGACAAATGTCCAGGTATCTCACTGTGATCCCATAAAAAGTTGGTCAAAATGTGGCATTAGAATCTTTCTCACCCTTTATCTCATGTATCTGTGGTGCCAACTACCCCTTTCATTCATACAGCAGTCAAAACGTTCAAACACTCTGATCATTACAGTTGTTGATCAAAATGAATCTATAATTTGAATGAAAAATAAGTTATATGCAGTGCAGTTATGAATTATATAACTGATATATATCTGAATAAAAATCTAAGATAATGAATTTATGCAGCACTCTTTCTATAAATATAGAATAGAAAGTTCAGTTGATTTGTATGAATATTTTTTCGATGCCTAATATGTACAAAGCATATATCCCAACACCAGTTGCAAGTATTCGATGAAATTCCATCTTCACTGAAGATAAAAGAATGAATACCTCCTTATATGTCTTAATGCATAGTTCCCAAGTTGAATGATCGAAATGATTTCTAGTTAAGTAATAAAAATTTTATCCAGTAACTAAAACCGTATCACTATATGCTATATCAAGGAGATAAACCGACTATCGTGCTAAAGTGTGACCATTAGAACTCTATTCAGTGATCATCATAATCCATAAAGTGGATTAGATCAACTTGTTTTGAGAATGAAGTATGCTCAATTTAGAGTATAGACTAGTACAATTTCTTTCTAACTTGTTTTGCCTCTATGATAATACTTTTGCAGTGGATCAAAAAGTAACATCGGTAGAATGTATCACTAAAAAAATCATCAATACCACTTTATAAGCTCAATGTATTATTATTATTATTATTTGTCCTTTGAGTACTTATTGGAACATAAGGCTTCAGTAGGACGTCTGCGTTTCACTCTCCAGTTCTCTACAGTCTTCTGAACTCCACTTCACGACTGCCCATAACCTTTTATTTCTTCCTCACATAATCTATTTCATATCACCCTCGCCTCCAACGACCAACTCGTCGTTTCCCATTTGGCTTCCACTAAATGGTTTGGCCTGGCCGGAAGCGTGATGTCCCCTAACCATCTTCTCACTGTATGTCCAATCCAATCAAATCCAATCCAATCCAGTCTATCACCACTTTCTTCTTCTGCATATCTGTTAGGCGATAGGTTCTTAGTCGGTTGGTTCGTCGTCAGCCACCCTGTCAGAGTTCCTTGTTACTTATTCTCATTTTTCTGGTCATCTATCTGATCTCCATATTCAGTATCGAGTGAGCGTAGGTGATAGCTGTAGATGATGCATGTCTGTAGTTTGTTGTAAATGATTTTCATAACGCGTCAAGTCTCTCGACCATCACATGGAAGCACTGACTTACTTGACTGACATTAGTGTTGAAAATGCGCATGTTGCTCACACTTTCTGTTGAGTGTAGTGCGGAGCAGTGGAGTGCAGTAGATCTCACCACTGATTTCATATTAATGAAGGAGATCTGTATTGTCTTGATGTGTGTTTCCGATGCTGGCTGGCTTTGACATCCTCATGTGTGTCGCTGCCGCAGTCACCGCCCGTAGTTGAGAGGATGCTGCCTAGGTCGGTAGGTGGGTAGATGAAAGAGACAACTCCGTTTAGATTTCTCCCGTTGATGTTGATTGGTGATTGTTGTTGTTGTTGTTAATTGTTGGTTGGGTATCTTCACCAACTGTGTCTTCTCTGCATTCACCTGAAGGAAGTCCTATCTTCCTTCACTACCCTGCCTCGCCTCGCCTCTTCTGCCAATATGTTTGTTTTCACCTGTAAATCTTTGAGTTTGTGCGACATTAGACATTCGACATAAATTATCATTGGCGAAATGGAAATGTTGTTTTAGGGTTTTTTCATGTGTCCAGTCAGCGTATGCTCATCTTCTTGCTCCTCACAGTTTGTTGCATGATCTAGTCCAGTTCAGTAGACCACAATTATGGGATGATTGGTAATAGTAGGCGGCAACCTTGTCTTACTCCTGTCTTCGCTTCACTTCGAAGGCATAACTGAGCTTTCTATTGTGAATCACTTGGCATGTAGCATCTTCACATAGCATATGGCTGCTGTTGAATGAGGTTGATAAGGGTTTGTGGCACTAAAGGTACGGCGTTGAAGCTCGTGCCAAATGTTCAACATGAGTACAATGCAAGCTCATATTATTACTGATCAGGTCGATAATTTCTATTTAAACATAGTGACTGATACTCCCATAATCTCTCTAGTGAACAGTAATCTGAGGTAGAATCAGCTTTCAATGGAGTTCTACTTTCAATACGCGATAGCTAACAGTAGTTGGTGCAAACGACGGATCATTTATGGAAGTGTTATAAGAAATATTATGGTATTTGGTATACATATCTATTGAAAGCACCTTTCATCTACTCATTAAATGATTCCTTTCTTTGAAAAAAGAAAAGATTATTTATTTAATCCAAACATTTTGCAGATCACTTTGTAGGACATGTTTTTCTTCTTCAAACTTTGCTAAATCTAAAAAAAATTCTGATAAAAATGACCATCTGCTCATTAATTCTAGTTATTAATGATGATAAATATTGTTGATTACATTAACAGTTAACGAAATCGTTGACAATAACATTCTTGTTTTCGAGATTTCGCTCACATCTGCATATATATATCTATATATATATATATACAGATGGAAATGAAGAGAGAGAGAGGAAAAGAACAATTAAGCTTCAATGATGTTACACATCCTGGATTCCACTGCTACCCACGATGTATCACGAATATAAGAATTAAGATTCATTAAATAAACACTTAGTAGTAAAGTTGAGTAACACTTAGATTTTACCAAGTATTTTAATTGAGTGTTACTAAACACTTTCGATAGTGTTACCTCATCTTTAATAACATTTTACATAAAGTTCTTAAAACGAGATTTAACAAGAGTATAGATCAAAGGGATATGAAGAAATCATCTTGTATCATCCTGTATTTCGTCCACTTTAGTTACAGGTTCCTATGCTGTGGCTACAATGGGGCTGTTTTTCTGAGAGTTCATTTATTGTTTATTGACTTTATAGATATTTGATTATCTGGTCGTCTTAAATAACTTTTAATTGATTGATCCAGTTGCAAGTACAAGTTATTCTACTATCTTCAGTAATCTAAAAAAAATCCTATTCACATGCTGAACCCATCTTTATGAAATAAATACTGATAAAAATCATCATCATCAATCATCAATATCAATATAGGACCAGTCCCACTTTCCACACCTTATATCACAACATCAAGTAGAAAGGTAGTGAGTTGAAAGACGAATATAAGAATATTCAGTCAAAAGAAATATAAAGTATGCAAAGAGAGAAAGGAAGAATGAGAAAATGGTGACATTCGGTATAGCGTCGTTAAGATGAGAATAATGTGTGTATACATCTGCGCCACTGACATCGGTTCTGAACCATATGATCACCTAGAGTCAGTCTCCAACCACTGGTTCCTCTTGTCTTGAGGACCCCAACCACCTAGTCTGCATCAACCCACATGGCTCAAACCAACAGTGAAACACTTCATACATTGGTGCTATGTTTCAGTCTGGCCACCTCGGGCCTTTTTTCAACCTGGACCTACTTCGACAAACATTGTGTGACGAGGCAATCGGTGACTAGGCATACGTACTACGTGTCTCAACCATCTCAGTCGTTGAAGGTTCATAACCTCGTCAACTGATTAACCTCTACTCCCGAAAACTCTACACCTTACTTCTGCATTATTCACGTGGTGATGCCACGAAATACGGCCTATACTACGAAGGCAACGGTGGTCAAACACCTGAAGCCTTTTCATGTCTTCCACCTTGAATGGCCATGTTTCACAGCCACACAGTAGAACAGAGCGGACTGCTGAGCAGTACACGCCACCTTTAATAGACAAATGGATATCACGGCGGCGCTATAGTTGGCGTAAATTGGTAAAAGCCAATCGAGCCTTTTGTATCAGTGCAAAGATTTCATCGGCAACTGACCCACCAGGGGTTATGCTACTTCCTAAGTAAGTTAATTGGTTGACACACTCAACCACTTCACTGTCTATTGTTAGCTGTGGCACCGCTGAAGATCAATCCTGATAAAGAGATAACATACCATCTTTAATTGTCTGTGACAAAAAACTATCCTGTTATAATTCTTGTTTCTTTCTACATTTTACTATTGAAATGAAAACATATTTTATAACACAAGTTGATGGATTTATAAAAATAAAATGATTTAGCTCTGAAAATAAAACAGACAAGACGTTCACATTTTAGGTCATTCAACAAATATATTATGTTTAAAGTTACTTTCCAACTTATGCCTCATTAACTTCCCAAGATGACTTTCAATTAATGGGTTACGAGTTCGAATCCCGTTCCACCTACGGAGATTTGATTAACCGGGTGATGTCAATGACCCTCACAGAATAGGTGTATGGTTCATTGCCTACTACACGAGTATTCATTAGTCTTTTGAGTGTATTTTCGATTTCGGTTACGTCTTTGACATTATCTACATGCTTTACATGACATATGGGCTCTGTTTTGTTTTATATCTCAGCTGGTATATCACCAAATCCCTTATTACTTCTGTTTCCCTTTTTGCTATTTAACTTTGAAAATATCAATTAGTAATCTTTTTCCCCTTGGTATCCCAATTCAATAAACTTATATAGTTCGTGTAGACTTTTATGTTTTTTCTAGTTGGATTACTCCTTACATCTAAAGAACCAGAGAAATCTGAATATGTTATTGTTTTTCGTCAGCTAAGATGTCTTTTTCATAACTTTCCAGTTGGCCAGTATAACATATAATATTATAGCCCTCCTAATCCTCTGATAGTTGGTAGTTGTCATACTGTTGCCAAGATATTATTCCTATTGTATATTTTAGATTTGTTTACTAGATATAGCACACAAGGATATAGCATTTCTGACTACATGATGCTTCAAGAATAAATTTTTCCTCACAATCCTATCAAAGTGATTACAACAAGTTTTGACAACTAGTTTACGCAGGCAGTTATATCAGCAGCAATTTTAAACTTATTTATTATATGAGTAATAATGTGTGTTAGAAATGTTAAACAGTTAATAAAACTGTATCACTATTAATTTTCTTATTAAAGGAATAAGTTATAAGATCTAGACAGCAGTTATTTCGCATAATAATGTTTACAGTGATCATGTTAACAAATTATTAGATTAAACTTACTCTAATACTGTTTTGAGTAAAAGATTCAAGTATATTTACCCGTTGTAAAGTATAATTGTACTGGTTGATTTTCAGTGATGTAAACTTCTTTTCATTTGTAATTCTTTACAAGAATATTCTTGAACACTTTGTGATGAGATTTTCATCTTCTGTACGTTTCAGTTTGGATCCAATCAATGAAGAAGACGAAGGTGATCGACTTATATTTGATAAAGGTAAAATGAAGATGATTATGTATGGCGTTTGTATCTTTTAGTTAGGAAAATTATTTCAAGTCACTAGTTATAGTATAACTACAAAATAGGATTCGTTTGATTTTGATATCTACAATAATCCAATAAATATCTCTGACTTTTATCAGCTACTCATGAGCTTTCTACACTTCCATCGATAGGTTCTTGGTTCGTCCGTTAACAGGCCAGAGTCAGTTCGTTGTTGCTTATCCCCATTATTCTGGCCATCTGATCTTCAGTAACAAGCGTAGGCAGTTGTTGATGAATATCTGTAGTTTGTTGGAAATGCTTTTCGTAACGCACCAACTCTCTGAACCATACAGAAGCACTGACTTGACGTTGGTGTTGAAAATCCAGATGTTGTTCACGCTTAGTGCTGAGTGCAGTGCAGTGCAGAAGACCTCCACACTGGTTTCAGGTTAATGAAGGAAGGCCTGTCTTGTCTTGATGTCTTTCCGATCCTGACTGGATTTGACGTCCTCGTCTGTGCCTGTGCCACCATCTGTAGTTGGAACGATGCTGCCTAGATAGATGAAAGAGGTTGCTTCCTTTAAGTTTCTCCCGTTGATGGTGATTGCAGCTTGTTGCTGTTGATTGAATATCTTGATCATCTTTGTCTTCTCTACGTTCACTTGTAGTCCTGTCTTCGCTGCCTCTTCTGCCAACTGGTTAGTTTTCGCCTGTAGATCTTCGAGTTTGTATAACATTAGACTTAAGTCATCGGTGAAATCCAAATCTTCTAGGTTCTTTTCCACGATGTATATATATCCAATTTGTACAAGAGTATTCATTTTTTAGGCCACAATGGAAAATATCTATTCCTCGATGCATATCCTTAGGTTGCTTTATGTAAGCGATAAACATAACATAAACTACAAAACTTATAGTATGTTCCTCCATATACAGCTGTCAGTTTTTATAACCTGTAGGTAGGTAATTGTAAAGAAGGCGATGAAATACAATAATTTCACCATATTCTTCTACATTCGTTAAACTTTTAAAAACGGGAATCAGTTATATGAAACATTGGAATGGTGTAGGAATATCAAAACTTTTCTAAGCAAATTTATCAATGAAAAACCTTTAAGTATAATTAATTGCTTATCACATAAGATTCTATGAGTATACCATTTATCGAATGTGAATACAAATAAAATTTAATATAAATTTATACTCTGAAAACTAAACATTTCTGACTGATTTAAAACACAAAATAATCCATTTTCATTGTACTGTTGATATTGGAATTCTCTAACAAATATACAACATTTCAAGTTGTTATTTATCGTAAACTGAAATCAATTGGAGGGACAAAGGAAACCTAGGAGCACTGGACAGCTGTTTCGTCTCAGTATAGGACTTCCCAGCAATGCACACCCACGACCCTGTACCACCAGGGATAGAACCTGTGACCTTCAGGTTCCGTGGTCAGTACCTTACCATTGAGCCACTGGGTCAGAATTCAATGGTTTATATTTCCAACTTCTGTTAATTCACGACAACAGGCAGTAAAAATAAACAGAATAGATCTATATTATCTCTTCACATGAATACTATTCATATTTTACTACTTTTATCGTAATGTAGAGGAGAATGTCTGGTAGAAATAACAAGAGTAGTTTATTGAACGATATTATCAAAATAAGGTCATATTGTTTACATTAAATATGATTCACATTATACTGTTTACTCATCAGCATTGTAATAAGAAATTTACTTGTGAATCATTGGTCTAAGCAGTTTGCTGTCGACCAATAGGTCATGGATTGAAACCTTACTCAATCTATTGATATTTGAGCAGTAAAATAGTTTCATTAACCCTCATATAAAAGGTGTAACTTATTGCTTAGAGCATGGCTATGTACATAGTTTCTGAAAGAGATCAGTTTTAGTTAGTAACATAGACTTATCATTAATCATCAGAAGTGCCGGCTACTTAGTTGTTGATCTCAAGAAGTTGATATGTCTTAAGATAATTATCTTTTCAAACTGATACTGTTCATTTTTCTGCTTCACTACATACAACCCCAACTTCCGATTAACAAACGTTGTATCCAATTTTACTAGGTTTTTCTATGTTGCACTAGTAAAACAAAACACTAACTGGTAAAAATATGAATACTTTCGATTGACATATTTCTACTGCAAGATTGTCATAAATGTATGTTAGAAACTGTTATCAGCTTTAAAGATACTAGTAGGGTTAGTTAAATGTTTAAGTGATAGGGCGAAAAAGTTTACTAGTAGATCAGAAAATTTACGACAAGAACTTGGGCACATCAAGAATGCCTTGCGTCTCAATAAATACCCACCTAAATTTATAAACGAATTCATAAGAAATCGAAAGAGTAGTAGTGGTAGTAATACAGATGTTACTAGTAGTAATTCTAATACTAATGGTAATGATGGTGACAGAGTTGAGAGAGAATTCAAAGTCTCTACTGTGTTACCATGTAAGGAAAGTACCTCGGAAGCATTATGAAGAATCCTCAAAAGACTGGGACTAAAGTGGGATTTAAACCAACAAACTCGCCTAGAAACAAGCTTCGTGGGTTTAAAGATCCTACTGATGCAATTCAGTAAAATAATCTGGTTTACGAAATCCCTTGCAATGACTGTGAGGTCAAATAAATAGGTCAAAGTAGTCAAACAAGGCTGATTAGGATAATAAAGCACAAAAACTTAGCTAAATTAAGATAAGTAGATCCTAATAAGATAAGAAATCTGGAGAAAAACTCGGCTATAGCTCTGCACTCAATCATACACAAACACACAGTGTGGAAGGAGGGAGAGATTGATAACAGAGTCTTTGTTTATCGAATCAACACCAAATACATGCAGTAAAAGGAGTGATTCTGCACCTATCCCAGATATATGGAAAATTCTACTACCCCTGTCATCATAGAAAAGGAGAGAAAACTAAGAATATATAAAGACTGTCTCGAAGTTGTGGAGTTACCTAATATGAATATGGGCAATAGATTATGTCCGAAACGTTATCAAGTAAATTATACTGTTTCACTGTGTGATATTTCTAATAAAAAGACTAAAATGCAATTACAATCGACCACTGTGCCCAAGTTTTACTCCTGTATTAATCTTATCTCTTTTCTCTGCTCGATACATGTCATAGCAACAAACGAAAGACGAAAAGCAGATGAAAATGACCAAGAAACTGAGCAAACTAAGGACTCTGATGATAAGGCTGAAAATACAGATGAAAATGATACACAAATGAAGGATATATCCAGTTCTAGACGTCATTCAGAAATGAGTTCAACAAAGAAAGTCAAACCGATACCGAACGCATCTTCGTTTTTTATATTCAGTCCAACTAATCCGTGAGTATTTTTTTTACTTTCTCATAACTCTATTAATATTAATATCAGAATCTGTAAATACCTATCAGTAGTAATAACTTCTAGGTGGCATTCACATCGGTAATTGACATCAGTTGGAGTAACAGTGAAACGTAATCGTCCTGAAATCCGAAGATCTTGGGTTCAATCTCTGGAAAGGTTATGAGTATGCACTTGTGAGAAGTCCCGTACAAGAATGAAACAGCTTTCTAGTCCTCCCAACTCTTCAGTGGTTCTCCGACTGATGTCATTTCGTAACGAATACCAACCTGGAAGTCAGTAAATCCCCGCAAACCTCAATTTTGAATAACAATAACTATTGTGATTATAACAGAAATGGGACTCATGAATATCTTTTTCACTACAGTCTCCGTGAATTCAGAAGTACTAACAGTCTACTACATCGTTTTTGCTAGATGAGATCCACTTACAGTCTACTTTCGGTAGCCTCTAGGTGCATTTATATAAATATTTATATGCGATAAGCCTAAGCGTTTATTTTTTGCCTATTTTCCCACATATTTAGCCTTAAAAAATTTATTCTCAATTTCAAAGGAGTGCTTCGTCACAGATCAGAATCGGTCAATGGATAGACATGGGACAAATAGGATAACCGTTTTGTCCCGGTCTCAGACTCCTCAGTAGCGTATACCTATGATTCAGTATATTTCTTTATAATTAAAAAAACGAATTTTTGTCTACTATTTGTTCATTATTCTTTTAGTTTTCAAATAAAGAAAAATATATCTCTTTGTAAATATGAAAACACATAGTCTTCCAAGTTGTAAGCTTTATGTTACTGGTAGCAGGTAACCTGTCTAATTAAATGATCAGTTTGGTTAAATATTCTCTTGCGAGCATTCAGCTGAACAGATCTTATTATTCTCTATTAAACCAACTGATGGAATGATAAGGGAAAATTATATTCAAGCCATTAGCTAACCATTGTACTTATATTAAAATTTATTTGACCAATAAATCAGAAAAGCTGTAACTCATCTGCATAACAATCTTGAATTATCACGAAACTACGAAATGGCTTGCTTAAACAATCTATCAAAGAATTTTTATTTTAAGTTGATATTCATCATAGACTGATATAAGTTGGAAAAACAATGGAAACCTGGGAGCTGTTCAGTGCTTCAACTTGAAATACCTCTAAATCCCCACAAACTCCTCAAAATTCAGTTTTTATTTTACTGTCAATATATGAATGAAATATTCATCTTGTGTGAAAAAAAAACATGAATAAGTCAAAGACACAGTGCGCCCTGTGATAAAGTTTACATCTAAGGAGAAGTCAAAAGGTAACACAGCTTTTCTTGATGTTCTTCTCTCAAGACAAACATATGAGTCCCTAAAGAAGAATTTGTTTAGGAAAAGCATATGGACAAGATAATGCACAGATTTTCTCAGCTTCATCCTTCATCGGTACAAATGAGATTTAGTGAAAACTTTGTTACAAAATAAAGATTATATGTCTGGAAGATAGAATAGAGGGGGACCTGACGAATTTGCGCTACATATTAATTGGAAATAGCTATCCTGATAAATTCATAAAGAAATATGCGATGATATAAATAGCAGAAGACCGCTACATATCCAGGTACAATTCATAGGCGACGCGCTAAGTAAGATATTAGTTCAGAAACTACGCAGATTAATTCACAGAACTTTTAATGCTAATAAATTACAAATTTTGTCTTTCACAAGCCTAATAGTGACACCGAGGCTGAATGCTTCTTTGTAACCATTTACTTCAGTCACTGTTCTAAGAATTAAATTTTCTGTGTTTGCGAACACCTATCGTGGTTAAGTAAAGGTGTAGTGAAGACCATTATCAGATCGAAATCAGCGCATCTGGTTGAAACGAACTATAAGGTGGATATAAATGAGTCATTTTCCATTCCGTACTGTGTTCTTGTCAACTTGCTGCAAGGTATCTGACTCCAAATCATTCAAACCGCAAAAGCATTTGCTATCAAGATCAAACAACCTGAGTTATGTGTTCAGTAAAAAGGCAAGTACAGTGACCCGATTCGAAAAGCACATATTCCTTACTATCCTCTCTTAAGTAACTTTATTTTCAGATTCTTTCTGTAGACACCCCTTCATCGGTAATAATCTGAGACAGTTGTATTGAATCCTCTTAAACTATTTAACTCCTCAGCATGGGTAACATTCCATCAAGCTATGATTCTTCAAATTATTCTTTTTAGTTGATTTTACCTAACTCTCATAAACATCCTCCTATTGTTTTACTAAACTATCACCTTATAGTGTTACATAAGTTATTTAACCGTTTAGATAATCAAATATTTTGCTGAAACGAATTCCAGTAATAATTATTTTATGATTAATATCCACACAGTTCTTTTCTGAATTGACTTCTTCAGCTGCATAATGTAATTAATAAATGGATAAACGGGATCTCAGTATTATTGACGTATAATCCCTCAATGCGTTAATGTAACTGTAGGACGTGAAGAAGAAGTTATCGAAAAGAGTATTCCTCATACACACAAATGGCTTTTGAATAATTCATCTACTGTTTACAGCATGTAGGAGACTTAAGTTTCTCTTGAAGGAAATAAGTATCCATCTGAAATATTATTCTCATAGTTTAAGGTAGATAGATAATTGGGGAGTCATAGAGTACTTTTTGAAATCAGATACACAGTTACTAATCTTGAAATTACAGAATATTAATTATATTGAATACCCATGAAGAACACAGATATTTTTATCATCTTAAAAAAATTCACGTCCTTCCCATCTGATTGCAACTAACTTGCGTTTTCTTTTCAAGAGTGAATGACAAGGTAAGCTATGAAGAATTCATGGGATATGGTATAACTTACTATATTTAATCCTTTCTAACCTTCCACATGCAATTGTGACCGATGAAGTTATGAAGCATTAGCAACTGAAGTGGCTTGGATATATGCTGTGCATATCAACCCACTCCTTACATCGACGTGTAATACCAGGTGAAGTTGGATGGAGTCGAAGAAGGTTCAGGATGACCAGAAAATGACATGTTACCAATCGATGAAGTCTCTAGCTGTTCGTTTAAGCAACATAAGGAGGTGTGGACTAGGATCATCAATGATGACAGGGATACTTAGTTACATCATGACTGCAAATCGGTTACAGTGGCGTAGATGGATTCACTTCTTAATATTCTCCTAAAGCTTGTATATTCACACTAACCTTTATCTTCAGATTATTTATTCTCTCAAACTACTTTGTCTTCTTTGATATCACTGTCTTTGTGTACTACTGTAAAGTGTAGCAAGTTGAGGTGATTCACTCCTGTGTGATGTTCTGCTTAGATCTAGTCTATTATCCATCATATGTCATTGCAAAAAATTTTGTGTCTTCTAGAGAAATATCAATTTGTCTTTTTATTTGTTGTAAGTTTTATATCTTTTTTTTTTTTTTTTCCAAAAATTTATTTTATACTTTAAATAGATTTCGTGTTGCCTGCCATGAAGTATGCAATCATAACTACTTTAATAATATTGTACTTGTTTGCATCTTAGTAAGTAGTGCTATGCTTGCAGCAGAAGATCCATTAGATGCTTCATCTGCTCGTAATCAGGTAAATTTAATGAAAAATTGATTTTCATTTATTGATTAATATAATGTAAATATCTACTTGTTTGTTTCTCTTCACTTATCCTTTGACAAATAGTATTAAATAGTTATCTTTCTTAATTTACTCCATCTCAGAATTGTATGTTCATAGTTGGAATTCAGGATGGAGATGATGCTTTCTAGTCTCTAGAAGTACTTCTATTGGTAATGTCAGTGTATACCGACTGTGAGTGTTCTTGACACCAACGAAGCAAGAACCCATTGTCCATCAAATATCCAGAAGAAAGTGGAGATGGGTTGGGTATAGACTGAGAAGACCGACTGGGGTTATCACGTGACAGGCCATGCCGTCTAGTGGAATCCAAATTGGGAAACGATGAGTTAGGTGTCTGAGCGAGATTGACATGGAGGAGATCATGTGAGGAAGAAATGAAAGCATGTAGGCAGTCGTGGAGCGAGTTTCAAAAGACTGCAGAGAACAGAGTACAATCAAGGCGTACTACTGAAGCCGTATTTCCACTAGGAACCCAAGACAGAAAAAAAATATCGTGACAAAAGTCTGCTTGCTCGGTTAGAACCTTTTATGTCAAACGGTTTTAGAATGAAGAAATAACCATCAGTAAGAATGGAATAACAGTTTGAGTAGATTGCAACTTGACAAGACCTGTTAAATATGGATAAACTCTTACTACAATGATTTGATTGTAAAATGTTTGACCAAGATCATCAGTTACTACAGTTCAGTGATCAGATAGTTGAGCTTAGTGTCCAGATCTGTTACACAGCTCGAAGTTTTCTGGTCAATAACCCAATAGTTATTGATTTAAATTATTTCATGATTTATATACATGGATTCATCTTTTAACTAGAGTTATCTAATATAATTCGGTTTCTGTATTGCTATCTTCACATATCCAATCAATTTTCATTAAGTTATTTCTTTGAATCTATGTAAGAAATCCAATTACTTTTTAAACTACTTTCAATAGATAAGTAAATTATAATCAGGAGATAGATGATAATATTGAATAATTAAAATGTTTTGAATGTGAAATGTATTCTGTAAGTATAAATGGGTTAATGGATTTAGCTTCGAGCGGTGTCCTTCAAATTAGGAAGGTTAAATTAAGAAATTCCTACAGTCTTGTATAAGTTGGTTTTATCGTTAGCTGTCTTTTTTTCCTAATCTGTAATTAAGGAGTAGCCTCATAAGAGCTGCTAAGTGGTATTAGCAATTCCATTCAACAAATAAAATGGCATCCCCCTATACTATTCATTGTTTTACTAGGCTATATTGTAGAAATGGAAAGACTGAGACTGAGGAAGGAATATTTATCAATAACATCTTGTACAGTAGTAATTTACACAACCCGCTTCATTTTCTCTTCTGCTTCTATCTTGATTTGCACTTAATGCGCCTACATTGTCTCTTGCTTTTCTCTGGGCAGATTCTTTACCCATTGCTGGTAAATTCCTATGATTTCTGCCACCCTTTGAACATTCATCCATCCATTTATCATCCATTCTGATCATCAACGATCACTACACTATAGGCTAACCAAATGTGACAGATTTATGGTGTATGTCAGTCAGTAGAGTACCGAGATGGTAGCCAAAATGCTACTGCTTCATATCCTGCCAAAACTCAAATTTTTATTTCATTTTCAGTTATCATCTACTATCAATAAATAGAGTCTACCAAAAGACAATTTTATTAACTAGTATTTCATGTTTAGTTGAATGAGATAAACGGAAAAGAGGAAAAAGAAGGGTGAGAAAAAGCAGAAATGAACTTCCGATCTTATACATTACTTCTGAACTTCATTCGGAACCAGTTACAAACAATGATCTGAATATAAATTACCTATTGAACGTGTTCAAAATGTTGGTAGACTCTAACACTTACTAAACCAATCCTTATTAAATGTGTTCCAGAATTACATGTTATGCATAATGTAAATATATAAGTGTATATTCAGCTGAAGCCGTCTGTCAATTTACACTTTAATCCCAAGTCTTTAGTGAATCTCTTCTGTTAATTTGAAAAGTGTCTTTCATTACAATTCCTACTAACCATATGAAGTAAGATGGCTGCGTGAATTGGTGAAACTTCCGCAAACGAGGGTGATGGGAAGTGAACTTGACATATTTCAGAGCTAAATTCAGTACTTACTTGTTAAAAAGGAAAGGGAAATATCTATGGACAAATTTTCTCTAAGCCGATTATCATCAAAATGATAATTTGTTGCTCGGCACATTTCGATGTCAAACAGTCTCTGAAACTTCATATTTGATCTAAACATTCTCCGAGATTTCACTGGCCTACTGCAAAAAACTGTCCATATGTATTAGTTGGTTGGAGGTAATCTAAAGGGAGCCTTGGACCTAGGTTTTTTGCTCGTTCACCCTCATCAGCAAGATGTATCCCCAGCCTCAAGGGAAGTAATGTCCTATGTGAAATTTGAACCCGTGTAACCCACAGTTGCAATGTTACCACTGACCCATTCAAGCCATGACTAACCTCTTACAGGACTGGATTAGATATATTGGTTGATTACTGGAGAGTAAACAAGTTCATTTCGTCTAGGTGACGTGGGGCATCACTTGCATTTCGGTTGCAGGTAAGCCATGCTGACGAGTGCCAATAACAACGAAACCTAGATCCACGGCCTCCTGCTGATTACATTTAACCAACTAACATTTATTCACGTGCATCACAATGATAAGCCTACTAGCTTGGTAGTCCCATTGCAAAATGATGGATAGAATGCACTCAGCACTTAAAACTAGAGAACGCGAAGTTGTTTACGCTCCAGTGACCAATCATTCTACTTTCCTTATATATCCTCATTATAAAAATATGACAGAAAAGTATGACATCAAGTCACTGCTTTACTTACTGTCTACGCCAAGTCAAAATATAAATTTCATACTTGAAACGTTTGCTATACCAAGATTCATTTATGAATATCTGAATGCAATTTGTTTTCTGATTATTGAGAATGATGATATGCTTACACCTGGCCTACTTAACTATTCATGATCATTTTATGTCATTTTCAGATACATTCCACAATTATGTGTAGTAATAATGAATATTGGCTAGTAGTGGAATCCAGGATGCCTATTTCGTCCTATTTGGGACTCGTCAGCCGGATGTAACTGCCTCCCAGTGAGTGGTGCTATTCCCACCGGGATTCGGCGGTATAATACAAGCAATAACACTAAAACTATACCCGTCGCACCAAAAGTGCCTATCTTGGCTTGGTGGTGTAGGGGATAACGCTCAAGCGTTTGAATCGATCGGTCCGAAGCTCGAGTTCCAAATAGGATGAGATGCATATCTTGGATTCCACTGCCACCCACTATCCATCTTCACTATAACTAGAACACAGATATTTCGAGGCATCCCCACAGGATCCCATATGCCAATAGAGACCGATCCATACTGTCCAATAGACGACAGTATAACACAAGTAATACTACATTCCATAATTTGTTGTTTACAGTTGTATTTTTCACAGTATGTATGGGCAGTCGAATGGATTGACTTTTATGGTGAATTTTACATTTTGACAATTAGAGCTGAAAGTTACCTGGAAGCTATTACTACAATAAGTAAATGTTTATTCGCCACATATGCGCTCACTTACTTTTATCTAGGCATTACAGTTGGAATATTGATCATTTATGACTTGAGGAGGTATAGTTAAGTGACATTTAAGGCTTCTGAGAAATGTTTATTGAAACATTCAGCTATCATCGTAGTTGATTTCTAAACTTGAAGTACAAGAATGTTGAATACAGAAATCCCTGTATATACGATCGCTCACTGCTTCAAAGAGTTAAATAGTAATCTGTTAAAGTGATAAGAGGATAAGAGGACCAAAACAGAATATGAATTTACTCCACCTTGATTAGATTATTTTTTAAAGAACTGAGTTGGCTAGTCATATTGGGAGACGACTTAATGATGAAGTGAAAACTTGAGTTACAGTAATGCTCAAACCAGTAGTCACCGAGTTACTGACCAACTGACCTATGACACCCCCTTACTGATCCTATAGTTTTACTTAAGCTGCTTACTGAGCAAGTACACAGACCTTTTGCAGATGAGTTAGGTAATAGCAGTAAAGAGGTAGTCAATCAAATTTTCAACGGAACTATTAACAGTGCAGAACGAAAAGCGATTTCTTCATAATAAAGGTGCTTCAAAACTACTTTATATTCGTTATTGTAGTTTTGTCCTTGAGTTATTTCAAATTAAAAGTATACATATACATGTAACCGGCAACAAAAACCCAGTGAGTAGTTATTAGAATGAAAAGCTGACTCAAATATTCAATCCACAATATGTGACATATAGTTTATCAGTTACCTGCAGCCCTTTGTTACCACTATTATCCTTTAAGAGTCTTTTAAAGGTTAGTCCTAGTATGCTTATATTTTTTTAAAGAATTATGCTCAACAGCTGTATAATTGCACTTATTCGTAATTAAATACCCTTTTCAAAAAGGTTAATTTTCCATTGTTCTTGTTTTTTTCTCCATAGATTTTGAACTACTTTGATTATTTTTTCACTTCAGTATTCACAGTAGAGATCACTTTGAAGGTAAGTTTTGAGTTTATGGTTAAAAAAAGCATACACTTATACTTTTGCATAGTTTTATCTACACTGATCATTAAAAGGTTCAACTTATCATCTTATTGTAATGCTGATATTTACAGAAAGGAGGTGTGTTCCTGGTGACATTATTTTTTGTAATTCTAATATTTCAAGTTGTTATTCCTCGGAGGCTGACATCATTTGGAGGAACATAGGAAAGCTGGCAGCACTGGACACTTGGTTCGTCTCAGTATGGGACTCCCCAGCAGTGCATACCCACGACCCCGCCCTCCAGGGATTGAACCCGCGACCTTCAGGTTCCATGGCCAGCACGTTATCATTGAGCAAGCCACTAGGTCAGGATCCAATGGTCCACATTTCCAACTTCTTTTAGCTCACAATATAGCGCAACTGCCACCCAATGTCTTCGTTGAGTAACTGTCCTCATGACCATCAGGCTTTGACTCCGCCGGTCACGACTTCTCATTGGAGCTTCAGGAATACTTCCCCATAACTCCCTCAAAATTCAATTGAACTGGTGCTCATTGGTGACTAGCTTCGAGAGGTGTGACAACTTGGATCGTTACGCAGCAATGTCTCATCCTATGTTGATTTTGTCTGTCTGTCATTCGCGTTACAAGTTTTCTGATCTATGTTCCCCTTCTTCTTCTTTTTAAAGCAAGCAAACATCATCCTTTCATTAAAACTAGTTACTGACTTGCTCTTGATCTTGAACGTCATATTTAGCAACATATCCACCTTTTGACACAAAACAACGTTAGAACCTTCAGTATTTTACTTTTCCTTTTTACCACATTTTGACAAGCTGTAAAAATAAAACCAGAAAGATTTTTTGGGTTCAAGTATCATGGAGGTAGCCTTTCCATTGGTTCACTCACCACAACCCGTGTTGTACACATATGAACAGGTACTGTTGGAGATAATTGCACATATTATATTGTCATCATTATCTCCAAACTATCATTCACTGATTACTATTTATTGACATACTTGTTATTCTCCGTTGTTTTTTCTGATCAAATTGTTCGACCTCTATTGGCATATGGCTTCTTCTGCTAGCCACAACCAACCAAATTATCATGATCAAAATTCAGACAATATCGAAGTATCCTTATAGGAGCCCATATGCCAATAGAGGTCGAACAATTCGACCCAACAAAACGAAAGAGAATAATAAGTATGTCAATAAATAGTGATAACTACTACCCACTGTAAAGAAGTGGCTATCCTCCCTCCATGGCATAGTGGATAACGCCTTGGCGTTTGAAGCGATGGGTACAAGATTCGAGTTTCAGTAAGAACAACATCACTGACTAGGGTCCAGGTACATCCAGCTGACGAGTCCCAAATAGAATGAAACGCGCGTCCTATATTCCTCTGCTAGCCACAACCAACCAAATTATCATTCACTGAATTCTACTGAAATGTGAGACATGACACAACTGTATGTTGCTCGAGTATTTACACTTCACCTGAGTACATTATCAAACGAAATGAACATACAGGAGAACGTCAGGATAAAGAAATATCAACTGACTTAGAATGAAAAGTTAGAAAGTATGAAGAAGGTGAAAAGGACTAGAAATATATGACAAGATGAATCAGGCTGAGGTGAAGTGTTACTGCGTCGATCTCAATGTGAATACATTCTGAGGTCTTCAAGTATTTTATCCGAGTTGGGTTATAATCAGTAAGTTTAACCTTTTTGAACGGTAGACATAAACATTCACTGATTGTTTATCTGTTTCAGTTATCTTTTCATGTGATTATGTCTAAAATCCTTTATTTTCTTAGCAATAAGAAAAATCAGTAATCTCAATTCTGTTAGCAGCCTAATTGAAAATTCATGTCTTCTGTAGATGGCTGATTGCTCCACCCTTAAGTGTAAATAGTACTATATTTATACGGTGACAGAAATTCATTAGACTAGAAGCATTACAGAATGGAATGCAGTTTCTTGATATCTTTGAGATGTAAGTGAAATCGGATCATATCTATCTGTTACCACACACATTAGACGAATCTCCAGTCCCATTGTCTTAGAAGAAGAAATTCCTGTTCTAAAGAACATCCTGATTGAAAATGGATATCCACTGCGCTTTATAGATAAACACATCAAACCTAAACCTTGCAAAAAGAACCTTACCACCGTGCCAAAACAGACACTTTATGAATCTAAACTTCAAAGGTGATTCTGCCGCCGAGAGGATATTAAACGCTATAAGGAGAACATTTTTGCATCAACACTGAAACTAGTATTCTCTTGTCACCCAACGATTTCTAACAACTCAAAAGAGAAACTTTCACATCTGACCACTTCTATGTGAATATATCAATTCACCTGCTATAGTGGAGCCAGGTATGTAGGTCGTTCGACGTGCCTGTTATCCAAAAGAGTTTAAGAACACCATCCTGAATGGTTACAAAGAGATAACAATGGAGCAATAAAGAGTGCTATAATTGAACACATCGTGAACACAAATCACCCTATCCCAATAACCTCCTTGTTCAAAGTCTTCTACAGAGTGAAAAGAAACCTTCCAAGGTTGTATGTCTTCGTAATCTCTGCATCGTCGAAGCTCTTACCATTCAAATGGAGGAGCATGAGGTATGAAGGCAAAGGAGATTGTTCAACCCATTTTCCTTTCATGGTCTTAGCTTTCAGTCTCCTCTGCTACCCCCCCCGTTTTTCTTTTTCTGTTTTGATACTGTTCACTTCTTAAGTAATTTGCCATTCATTCTTCTTGGTGAGCTCCACTTGACCACAATTAAGTTTCTAACTATATCGTCATGTTACAAAACTTCTTATTTAAACTTATTTTGATAATAATTCACTACTCATCAGCTTTTTAAAATTTTAATGAGAGAACATGATTGACTGTATTTGTGTTGCCATGCTTGACAAACCATTTTTAACTATCCCATCGCCCAGCAGCTACGACTAGTGAACTCAGCCTAAACCATAGATATTAGTGAGCTGACCGAGGTCAACAGACAGCTAATGGGTACAGCAGTAGCTGCGTTGGAGTCATCAGAGGTAAATAACTGGCAATCACCTGACTTCTGCCGACCTCTCAACATGTACTACTTATATCGAATCTCATCAGTAGCACTGCTATACTACTACTATTAGAAATAAAAGAATAAATAGTTATTGAATGCATAAAAATTGAAAGAAAATATTCATAAAAAGTAATTGAGCAGATTGTGAACACTAACCACACTATCTCCTCCTCCTCCTGGTTCGAAGTCATCTATGAAGTAAAATGAAACCTTCCAACGGCTGTATGTCTTCGTATTCTCTGCATCTCCAAAGCTCTTGCCATCCACCATATGGAGAAACTTGACTGTTTACACAAAAGAAGATTGCTCAACCCATTCTCCTTTCATGGTCTTAGTTTTCAGTATCCTCTACTCCCCCCCAATCTTTTCTTTTGATCTTTCTGTTTCGACACTATTCACTTCTAATTAATTTGCTACTCACATTCTTGTTGCATGTTCTGCCTGATCATAATTCAGTTTCCAAACTTCTTGTTCAGACTTATTTTGATTAATATTCTACTACTCATCCGTTGTTTGGTTGTTTTTAATTTTAATGACAACTACTTTATTGACACTATTTGTGTTGCCATGCTTGACGAACCATTTTTGACTATCAAATCCTTATGTATAGTAATGATGGGCAGTGGCTAGCAGTGGAATCCAAGATGCACATTTCGTCCCATTTGGGACTCATTAGCTGGATGTACCTGCCTCCCAGTGGGTGATGTTGTTCCCACTGGGACTTGGACTCGTGGGCAATCGCTTCAAACTCCAGGGCATTATCCACTACACCACCGAGCCCATCATTACTATACATAGTTAAAAGACAGGTAATATCGAGGCATCCGCATAGGAGCCCATATGCCAACACAGACTGATCAATTTGGTCCAATCAACGACAGTGTAATACAAGCAATAACACTATCAAATCCTTAGACTAGAAAAACATGTATAAATTTACGATTGTGTAGAGCTTTTAAAATGACATTGCCGTAAAGCGACTACACTGAAATATACTTGTTCTTCTTTGATATCTGCATTCCCTGTAGTCGAATGAAACGCTTATTGAACACTTTACTTACTTATGATTTGACTATCAAAGATAGCCGTAGTTTGGTAGACTAGAATTTGCACTGGGTGATGGTTGAAGGTGAGATGAAAACCTGAATCGCGGCCGGATTGTAACCAGCCACCACCGGATTACTGACCCGGTGCTCTACCAAATGAGCTACAGCTAGTACAAATACTAGTCTGCCAAACTACGGCTATCTCAGACAGTCAAATAATCAATATGATGCTCCCCCTCTCTGATTCAGTTAGATTTGGATTGGGATGAGAAGTCCTGACTAGGCTGCTGGTGTGAATACGATCAAACAGTAGTAACACGTCACCAATTCACATAGTAGTCGGTAAAAACACTTGATGATTGAAATGAAATAAAAATGTGGTAAGAAGTCAGATCTCGTAGCTCAGTTGTTAGAGCATGGGGTCGGTAACTTGGTGTTGGTTGGTTTGAATCTGGCTGCGGTCCAGATTTTCATTTCACCTTCAATCATCACGCAGTAATTTACTTACCATTCAACAACTCAAACATCTGTTTGTAATGTGCTCAGTTTCTTTTAAAAAAAATAAATAATAGTAATAGTGACGGTAGTTGTGTTCAGTGCTTTCATATCACAATTGATTAAAGTGTGAATATCAGTGAGTTTCTTTCACCCATGTTTATATCATTTTTCTCCACTAGATAATTACCTATGGTCTGGTATTACATAAGGGTGCTTTTTGTCGAAGTGCTAATAATATGTTAGATTTTATGGTAGTTCTTACATCAATCATCTCTTATCCTATTGAGTAAGTTCTCATAGATGTTGTTAATAGTTAATAGAAAAGAGATGAGAAATAAATGTTGTTATTTGTTGTGTATTTTTTAAAAGTATCCTATATAAGACTGATCTCTAAATCGGTTTATTTTGTATTCTGTTATTGCATGCATAGTGAAGTTTGTGTAAACTTACTCTTGTAGTATGTGTATTGTCTACTGTTTCTGTTAATGGTGTGTTAATAATAATGTTTACAGAGTTGAGAGCATTTCCTCCGGTTGGATTAAGGAGAAAAAATAATACTATATATTACTATTTTTCTGGTTTTCTTGCCAAAAATGTATTATACTAATTGATGACATGTCTTCCACTAAAGTTTCTATTCTTCTTCCCTTATTTACTGTGAACGTGTTTCTTTGATTCTCATTTTACTGATAAAGTTGACTTGTGTCTCTTTAATCACGCTTTATTGTCTCATCGTTCACAGTTTACATTATTGATTATTATTTATTACTTATCCTTTGGGTTCCTAGTGGAACATAGGGTTTTAGTAACACGTTGCCATTTCACTTTCCCGTTCTCTGCAGTCATCTTGACTTGGATACACGACTGCCCATAACCTTTCATTTCTTCCTCACATGATCTCCTCTATGTCACCCTCGCCTCCAACGCCCAACTCGTCGTTTCCCATTTGGCTTCCACTAGATGGTCTGGCCTGGCCTAGTGGGTGATGTCCCCAAACCATCTTCTCACTGTATGTCCAATCCAATCCAATCCAGTCTATCACCACTTTCTTCTTCTGCATATCTGTTGGGCGATAGATTCTTAGTCGGTTGGTTCGTCGCCAGCCACCCTGTCAGAGTTCCTTGTTACTTATTCTCATTTTTCTGGTCATCTATCTGATCTCCATATTCAGTATCGAGTGAGCGTAGGTGATAGCTGTAGATGATGCATGTCTGTAGTTTGTTGTAAATGATTTTCATAACGCACCAAGTCTCTCGACCATCATATGGATGCACTGACTTACTTGACTGACATTAGTGTTGAAAATGCGGATGTTGTTCATACTTTCTGCTGAGTGCAGTGCAGTGCAGTGTAGTGCGGAGCAGTGGAGTGCAGTAGATCTCCCACTGATTTCATATTAATGAAGGGAGACCTGTATTGTCTTGATGTGTGTTTCCGATGTTGGCTGGCTTTGACATCCTCATGTGTGTCGTTGTCGCAGTCACCGCCCGTAGTTGAGAGGATGCTGCTTGGTCGGTAGGTGGGTAGGTGAAAGAGACAACTCCGTTTAGATTTCTCCCGTTGATGTTGATTGGTGATTGTTGTTGTTGTTGTTAATTGTTGGTTGGGTATCTTCACCAACTGTGTCTTCTCTGCATTCACCTGAAGGAAGTCCTGTCTTCCTTCACTGTCCCACCTCGCCTCTTCTGCCAACTTGTTAGCTTTCGCTTGTAGATCTTTGAGTTTGTGCGACATTAGACATAAACACAGTGTGCATGAAATGACAAAACTTCCATGTCTTTGAATAATCCATAGGATTTCTATTAATCTTATAAACCGAAAAACTTAAATACCGATTACATAGTCTGTCAAGATTTCTTTCTCACTTTTAAAGTCACTTGAATAGAACAATTTTCTTCTGATATTCATGATGTTATTGATACATTTTCTACTCAATAGATTGATTGATATTTTCTACATTTACATCTCAATATAAAATAATTTAACAGACTACTTAAATTGATTTCTTTTTTTTAATAATAAATTTCATTTTGTTTTTCAATACGTTATATTTTGTTTGTTTTGTTAATCCATTTAGCATTGATACAATATCTGTAGTGAAAATTCTTCGAGTATCTCGAGTGTTACGACCATTAAGAGCAATTAATCGAGCAAAAGGCTTAAAAGTAAGTTTTATTATCTAAGTGTGTATGAACTATGCAGTATATTTATCTGTATTCTACTAAAAAATAACTTACTTTATCTCAAAAGTGAACGACTTTGACATGATAAGGAAATAACTCTTTCAATAACCGAGTTTGTCTTTTCCTTATTTCTTATTATATCATTATTATCACTATTATTTGTCCCTTGCATTCCTAGTGGAACATACACCTTCAGTGGCACGTCTATTCCACTATGTCCTATGCAATCTTTCGACCATGGCTTCACCAATGCCCGAAAACCTCTCATTTCTTCCTCACACCATCTCTTCTATGTCAACCTCGCCTCGGACGCACAACTCACCGCTTCCCATGAAAGTTTCACCCTGGTGCCTGGTGCGTGATGTCCCCGAATGGTCTTCTCAGTGCATGCCCAATCCATCTCCATCTCCACTTCCTCAGGTATATTTGTTGAGCGACAGGTTCTTGCTTTGTTGGTTCGTTGCAAAGCAGCCAGCCAGAGTGAGTCCCTTGTTGCTCATTCTTATTATTCTGGCCATCTGAGCCTCAGTGTCAGTATCGAGCCAGCGTAGGCACCAGCTGTTGATGAATATCTGTAGTTTGTTGGAAATGCTTTTCGTAACGCACCAAGTCTCTCAGTCATCACATGGAAGCACTGACTTACTTGACTGGATTGGTGTTGAAAATGAGGATGTTGTTCCCGTCTTCTGTTGAGTGAAGTGAAGTGAAGTGCAGTGCAGTGCAGAGCAGAGCAGTGACGTAGATCTCCACACTAGTTTGAGGTTAATGAAGGAAGACCTGTCTTGTCTTGATGTCTTTCCGATCCTGACTGGGTTTGACGTCCTCGTCTGTGCCTGTGTCGCCGCATGTAGTTGAAACGATGCTGCCCAGGAGGGTGGGTGAAAGAGACTACTTCCTTAAAGTTTCTCCCGTTGATGGTGATTTGAGCTTGTTGTTTTTGTTGTTGTTGTTGGTGGTGGTGGTGGTGATGGTGTTGGTTGGGTATCATCATCACCTCCATCTTCTCTACATTCACTTGAAGTCCCGTCTTCGCTGCCTTGCCCCTTCTATCAACTTGTTGGATTTCGTCTGTCAGTCTTCGAGTTTGTGTCACAAGACATTAGACACAAGTCATCACTGGTGAAATCCAAATCTACTCTCGGGTTTTTTCATCTGTGAAACAGCGTATGCTCCTCTTCTCGCTCCTCACTGTTGTCCGCTGCATGATCCAGTCCAGTGCACCACAATGAGGAATGTGATCGGTGATAGTAGGTGGCAGCCTTGTCCTACTCCTGTCTCCACTTCACTTGAAAGGCATCATTGAGCTCTCATTGTGAATTACTTGGCATGTGGCGTCTTCATATATCTAGCTGTTGAATGAGGTTGACAAAGATTTGTGGTATTTTGTAGTGTTGAAGCAGTTGCCTGTCAAATTACTTGTCAGTCGACGCTGTCGAAGGCCTTTTCAAAGTGGATGAAGTTGAGGTTGAGTTGAGTTGACTGTCATTCTATACTCTGTTCTATGATGATGCGCAACTTTGCAATTTGATCCGCACTTGATTTTTACTTCCTGAATCCAGCCTGTGTGCAGTTTTAATCCAGGGCATCCTTTAACGTCTTATTATTACTGAAAAGTTATAACAGTGTTCATTTGCATACCTTTTTCATGATCAGTCATTTTGTATAGCGGGAAGATTGTATCGACTTCATTTGAAAATTCACTCAACTTAGTTTCTTAAACTTCAATATAAGTTAAAATATCTTCAATAGTGGACATGTGTGACCCTTTTTCTATAAAGATGTGTATAGTAAACTCGATATTCTACCATTAAATCCTAGAAGCACGCTATACTGAAAATTCCTTTCTATCGTAGGTGAAACTTTACGTGAAGTGCATAATTAGTTCAACAGCATGAAAAGAAAACAGCCAATAGGCCGGTAATGAACCCAAAAATTTTCCTTTGTTATCTTCTATAATGATTTGGTTTTCAAATTATGGTCTGATGATAGTCTTATACTACAAAAAGGCTTCATATTTTATAGATAATGGATTATTTTTCTTACATTTTAGGTAAACTGATCACTAATGTTGACTATTTAAGTGGTAATTATTACTATTATTTTTATTGTTATTACATGTCCTTTGGCTTCCTAGTGGAACATTAGGCTTCAGCGACACGTCGCCATTTCACTCTTTTCTCTGCAGTCATCTTGACCTGGATACACGAATGAGCATAACCTTTCACTTCTTCCTCACATTATCCCCTCTATGTCACCGTCACCTCCAACGACCAACTCGTCATTTCCAGTTTCGGTTCCACTTGAGGGCCTAGCCTGTCGCATGATTTCCTCAATCGGTCTTCCTTCTCAGTCTATGTTCAATCCAATCCAGTCCGTCTCCGCTTTCTTTTACTGGATATGTATTGGTGATAGGTTCTTGCTTGGTTGGTTCGTTGCCAGCCAGAGTTTCTTGTTGCTTATCCTTATCATTCTGGGCATCCATCGGATCTCCATATTCAGTATCGAGTGAGCGTAGGCGGCATCTGTTGATGTGATGTATGTCTGCCGTTTGTTGGAAATGCTTTTTTGCAACGCACCAAGTCTCTGACTTGACATTAGTAACAAAAGTTTGTAAATCACTTGTTCAACCCAGGACATTAAGAGCAGATTGAGTTTGAAACAACTTTAATGAAAATGATATTTTACAACACATTATGACACCATTGAACTTGACCTAATTATAAACTATAACTTGAAGAGCGTTAATCCGTGAAAACCTGATCTCATCTTACTTCTGTCAGAATGTGGGAACAATGCAGTCATAATCTTACTTAACAAGTAGCTGAATTCCTATAAACCTTTACTTTAACAATCGTTTCTGATGTTGGTAATTCTTTTAAGGTGAGAACCAAACATTTTCTGTCATTATATTCGTGAAAGCAACTGATATTCGATGTTTATTGTTTACCATCAGCTGAACAAGACTCAGCTTGTTCTTGTTCATAGTAATCAATAGGGCATATCTCAAGTTCTGATTAGACTTGTGTTTTCTCATAGATTCGACCTATGTAAATTAGAACTTCTGTCACGGACTTTGCTACTAGACTATCAACTTTATACCCGGTAAGCTATATTATTTAGCCGTGTACGCAAGCCATTCATGAGACTAACCCCATCCATTAGCCTTCAACGAACCACGAATTGAAGAACAACTATTCTTTTCAAAATAGCTTTTTATCGCAACACATATTAGTCTCAAAATCATTCAGAAACAAGAATACTTCATGGGTTGTTTAAAGTATGTTTATCATTTGACTATCTAAGCCGTAGTTTGGCAGACTAGTATTTATACTGGGTGATAATTGAAGGTGAAATAAAATGATTGAAATGAAATAAAAATCTGGTGAGCAGTCGAACCTCGTAGCTCATTTAGTAGAACATCGGGCGGGAAACCCAGTGGTCTCCAGTTCGAGTCCGGCAGCCGTTCAAATTTTCATTTCATCTTTAGTCATCACCTAGTACAAATAGTAGTCTTCTAAACTACAGCTATCTCAGATAGTCAGATAATAATCAATATGATGCTCCCCCTCTCTGATTCAGTTAGATTTGCATTCAGATGGGAAGTCCTGACTTGTCAGCCAGTGTGAATACGATCAGGCGGTAGTAACGTGTGACGAATTCACATGGCAGTCGGACAAAACCCACAGGGATTAAAGTGGAACGAAAATCTGGTGACCAGTTGGACCTCGTAGCTCAGTTGTTGGAACATCAGAGGGGGGAACCGAGTGGTTGCCGGTTCGAATCCGGCCGCGGTCCAAATTTTCATTTTACCTTTAATCATCACCTAGTATGAAAGAATTTTTGTAATTCCCCACTTATGCATATTTTTGATCCCTTGAGGGGAAAACTAAGGGTTTTAAAATAAATATAATTACGTAATACAGGATGAATGCATGTCAATGGAGGAAAATGAACGAATGGTTATGAAAACAAAATTTCGATTATATAATACACGATAAACCTATGACAGAGTATGACAATAAATAGGGGATCATGAAAATAAGGTTGTAATTGCGTAATGCAGATTAAATCTGTTACAGAGTAGGAAGATGAATAAGGTGTGAAGAAAATACCTAATACAAAGTGTATCTATGGCAGACAAGGCTTTATGATGACCATGGCAAAGATAAAGGTTGGACGTACCTTTTTTGGACGTATAACGCTGATTTGAACTTCTAAATGACTAGTACTTCAGCTATAAACAAATGCTTTGATATTACTCCCTTCGAGTGGTTTGATCAAACCCTGTAGAGAATTTAGAATGAGCTCCTGAAAGGAGCTAAGTGGCCTGAGTTCACGAGGTGTTCTGTTATGGAACTGAAGATATATTTCCGTTCTCCGTTTGCCAGCCAGGCTGGGTAGTGTTTGCGGACACATTATACAAGCGGACGCATAGTTGTTAACGGGCTCAATTTAGGAAAATGTATTTCTTCTATCCTCTTATTTTCACCTATTGTTAAGCCGTAATCAAATTATAATGACTCCACTTATAAACCGTATGGTTTTGTGGCAAGACATGTTTTGGTTATTGCCACAACTGGTAATCTTCTATCAGCAGTCTTCTTTACATCCTGAACAATACAGTCACACCCAGATACGTACCACTCCATGTGAGTTACTAAGACAGTTGCTTATTTGTGCAAAATACTTAACATATTCCTATAAAAAACAGAATGAGCGATGCTTTATGCCACTCTTCTCAACATAATCTTATTGAGAAAAAAACTAAGGCCAATCATCAGTGGATAAACAGATAGGCAAATCAATGTAGACCCCGGTTGTAACACTTCACAGTAGCAGTCACAATACAGTATAAGCTTGAGACGCTCAGTGTTGGTCAAAGTCTGTCAAATGGGTTTATAATGGGGTCGGTAAGCTAAGTTGTGCTTCACTGTGATGCGCAACATTTCCGTGTTATACCTGGCAGGTTGACTGGAAGGAAG